TGTGACGGATTTAATTGGAATTTCCATTGAAACTGAGTGGTTGAAAGAGCTGCTGTGTTTCACTAATAAAATGCTCAATTTTCAGTTTTAAAAGACAAATTTCAAAAGCATCGCAATTGGATATTTCGTCCCTCTACTATTTTGAGTCTCTTTTCTACTTTGAATTTGGAAAATAAAATATTGAAATATCTAATTGGTGCAGTTCTAAAAGCACTTCGTGCTGATGGAAGTGGAAAGGAAATAAACAACAGTATTCAGCTTCTAAAATAGTTTGGCATTGCATGAAATTGCATTCGATGGCGAAAAGACCGCTGTAACATTTATTGGTTTCGCTCATGTGTGGCGAGATTGGATTGAAAAATGTTTGAATTACTAAATGAATTGTAAATTTTACCTCTTCTACACTAAAATAACATGTTCAAATTTGCATTTTCCCTCCAAGAATTTTTATATTCACGCTTGATTTACTTTTTTATCTATCTGGTTGTTAATTTTAATATTGTCGCAATTAAATTCAACCACTGAAATGTAATTTTATCTCACAATTTAACAACACCAATATAATGCAATACGGCGTATATGCGGAAAATAGTACACGTTTTGCGGGAAATAAACCGAAATACTCCAACATGTGTTGGAATGCGTTGCGATATTATGTAATTTTAATGAGACTTCCACAAGCTAATAACAGAGAAGGCTTTTTATTAAGTATTTTATTGAATTAAAAACATGCATGGTAATTGCATTTTCCCGGTATGAATGCAAATTTCGTTAAATCCTTAAGCACGAAATTTCGTGACGGAAGGAAACTCAATGAAGCCATACTTCAGCAAGTCAAGTAAATCACAGGGTAAAAGAAATAATTAGCTTCTGATTTGAGAAGAACCTCTCAAGTGGCATTAGACGAAATTGAATTGTATTGATTGTGAATTTTCCGGTTGGCTCTCTGAGGTAATTACAGTACAGAAAACTGAGTGGTGTGTACAGAATCCCGCCTGTAAAGTGCAAGTGTGTGGGGAGGAAGGATCAAAAAGCTCCCCAGTTGCTGAGGGGTGTTCATTGAATTCATTTGCCATTCTTTTGTATCCGCCATCTCATTCACCATACAGAGAACGAGAGCTACTCTATTTGATCAAAATAACGACGATGTCCGTGTTTATGGAAGTGGAAGAATCACATGAACACAAATTCCCTTCGCTGAGATTCTTTCTCCTCTATTAAACATGCCGGAGTGCCTTGCCGGCCCTTGTGTGTTTGGTTCACTGTTCAACCCCTCGAACATTTAAAATGCAAAATGAATTGCATTTAAAACGTACATACACACATGTGGACATATGTGCCTTCACATAGCGTGAACTTAAACATTTTCACCCTCATTAAAAGTTAACGAGTGACTCTCAAAGTTGAACCTCTCCCAAGGGGTGAAAGAGATATCTAGACACCGAAGCTCTCTGAGTGGAAGTGGGCGGAATAGTGAGGATGGATATTCAGTGAATTGCATCATTTAGCATACCGACGTGCTCATGTCCACAGAAGTGGATATTTTAGATGGCTTCTAATTGTTTTCACCTGGTCAAATTGATGACGACACTCACCCCTAAACCCACTCATGAGAATTCCATGTTGTCACACCCATCAGCCAGTCTTTGCCTGTGCATGGAGAATTTGCGAAATGTACAGACTGCATCGCACCGTGCTGGAAGTGCACAATCTCAGAGCATCTGGGGTTGATTTTTGGGCGGAAGCAAAAGATGAAAGCATGTGTTGAAGTACATTTGTGGGATTGATGGCTGTGATGGGGTTGAATAAAAGATAATGCTGCGGGGAATAATATTTGTACAACAAATGCACAAAGATCTCCTCCCAGAAATCATTACTCTTGCCATGATCTCAGTTGTATGTGGTTTTTTTTATTATTAGTAGGGGTGAATTTGAATTTTCATGGGATTCATAAATACATCTAGCAGATGTTCATACCACTATATTTGAGGAGGCAGGAAATCTTTCGTGAAATTTATGAAAGAATCTCGAATAAATTATATGAGAGGACGTGAGTGCAATTTTTCACGACACATTTTGGGTCGCTTCACCCTCTGCAAATGCCTCATGTTCTCATCTCCTCGGGCCCATTTTATCCCGCCTCACGAGAGAGATATATCTAAGGGTAATTGCAGCGATGATATCCCAGTGAGTGAAAAAAATCGTTTCAATACACTGTGCGCGCCTTGCTAAAGCGCAATAATAAAGATGATTGGTGAATTTTAATGAATCTCATGCAAATTTTGCCACCATGTTGTTGCTGGCTTTCATCTCAAATCTACATATATATCTCATACTTGCACGGATAAGCTATTAATATGTGTATATCATCGTTAAAATTACATGGCATATTCATGAAAGTTGTAACATTGCATGAATTTTGAGTCTTCAAATATTATTAGTTGTGCTTTGTCTATAAGACAAAAGGGGTAAAATTGAAAACACTAAACCAATAAACCACAGATTTCAGCAACCAGAAACCACAGAAATGATGTAAATTAGAATAAACCTGGCAGATAATTTATTCAATATTTCAGCAGAACACTTCCCATCGCATATAGTCTAATATGGAAATATATTTTTCCCCTGGGCATGAATAATAAATGTAATATCTATCATATCGCATGTAAATTGAATTAAGCTATCGAAAACTTTAACGGGACAGATAACACATTTCGCTCAATTTCACGTGATTATGCTGCCAAAGCTGTTCGTGAAGTCCTAATCTAAATTGAGATAAAGACATCTCAGTGGAGAGTAAATGGGTCAAATTGCATTTAATTAGACTAATAGAGGAGAGCAATTGCATGGAAGATACAGTCTAACTTCTATGCTCGTGTTTGAAGCTCTAGAAACATGTCTTGAAATGCTATAGCGCCTATTTTTCAGCAAACTTTCCAATGTTTATCACTTGATTCAACAGAAAACTGGTCAAAGTTTTGTGTATAATTGAGTTCTCACCAATTAAGAATCATGGCACTTATAAGTTTGTATATAAGCTAGGCTTTAAGAGATACAATTAGATGATTATTAATGTTATTGTCGCTTTAACTTCAAGACCATTCATGAACCTATTGGGAAACTAGGAAGAAGATATGAATATTGAATGTCTCTGGAGAATTGTCTTCATTACCAACACATCATGGAATATTCATTTACACATTCTTGAAATTAATTATTGATTGAAGATATTGGCAAATATTAATCAATTTTAAAACGTTTCCACTTGACTTCAATCTAATCGAAATGTGTGATTTCAAAATTTTCTAAACGAAATTCTAGATTCTGTTTTGACGAACTTTTCGCTATATTTCATTCAAGTCATCAGCAAAGGCAGTTCTTCCTTCCTTACAACGTGAAAAATGATGCAAATCTCTTATTCTGTCTCCGGTTGTGTATTATGCGTCTGGCAAATGCTAAACGATGTCGCACCCTTTGCGTGACTCTGGCTTGGGGGAAGTTGAGTGAATCTCGGCAGAGAGGAAGAGAGACAATGGTGAATAATTTGTTTGGCTTATTTATCGAATGCAATTGTACGTAAATGCTATGCAAAGCGTGCCAGATGAGGAGGATATCGAGTGACTCTTGCTCGGGATCATAAATTTATGTCTAGTCACACAGTATTTTATTTGTAAAATATTAACAAGTGCTTTTCAATCCAGACATCACCGCACAGCACCACCCCTTGGGCCTTTTTTCCACATGTGTTCCGCACTCGCTGTGTCTTTAGTGATGGATTATATTGCTCGTGCTGGTGCCATACGGAGGGCGATCCCTGATGCCAGCGAATTGCGTTAACGAGAGGCAATTGTTTGTGTGTTTCATTGAATCACATGCAATTTGCTCTGCATTCTAATTGCCAAGAAGGGGTGTTGCATGTGCTCTCCTATGTTCACCTATGGCCGCTCTCGCCGGCTTTTGCACATATCGCCTCTGCATCGCCAGTTCAAAGAGCAGCACGTGATGAAATATTTAATTAGAATTCCCTTCATCCTGATTAGGTACTCATCCGAGAATTATCAATGCAAGGATATTATGTAAAAAGAAAAGTGCAGAAAGTCGTCAGTTGAGAGTTAATTATTCACCAATATACCTTCGATAACTGAGTCTTGACGCAAACCTACGTGTCGTTGAGTTTTCCGCACACTGTGAGCAACAAATTGTCTTATTTCTGTGTATCTTGAGCAGCGTGTGTTTACCTATCTTTCGAAAAGTGTAAGATACGCTCTTATTTACTTTCCAATAATGCCCGAGTGTAGGCAATTTTCTATAATTCAATCAATTTGTATTTTCGTGAAAAACGGTTGGATATTTCAAGCCATGATATTAAATATAATCTTCTTATATAGCATAATATGTGGATGCAAAAAAGTTGATCGCAAATTGTCTTTTAAATTATTTAAGTAGTCAATGAAATATGTAAGACTGTGCAATAATAATAATCATAATTTCTTTCAAATACATTCCCACAGTTTCGCAAAATTCTTCATCGCACTGCTTTGTCTCTAATGTGTACATAATGTGCACTAAAGCGCACTTCACTCACTTTGCAAGTAATCGAGGATTTAGCGAGGGAAACTACTTGCGCAATCATAGCATATTGGCATATTCAAAATCCCAAATGTGTGTGGACAATTCCATATTTCCATTTCCATTGCATGTCCAATTTTGAGTGTATAAAAACATCTTCACGTTTGAAGATTTTTGTTTATTTTGTGGTTCTCAGTATAACTTTCATATACCCAAGATGTACAGGCACGCATTTGCCAAAGGACAATTGAAAAAACTTTTTTGGCACTGCATGTAAACACTTGATGAGCAATTTGTGAAGACCCATCGCTTCGCTGTATGACAAGAAATTCTCTGGCGTCGTGATTTCCAATGCGGCCCTTTCTTTCCTCTCATGAAAGTAAATTCGGAATCACGTCCACATTTCTCCACATTCAGTTAGATCTCCGCCTTAGACCGCAGTGGTTGCAGAGCCAAGAAAGTGTACCGATAGAGAAACGCGATACAGTTAAAATATTCATCAGAAAAACCTGCCCATCAGATTTCTTTGCGTAAATAAAGAGCGATGGCAGATTTACTCTATGAAAATCCTATTGAACATATTTTTATGCTCATCTGGGATCTTCTAGTGTTTTACGTAAAATCATTCATGTACATCTGCGAAGCTGTATATTTGAGTGTTATTCCCACAAAATTTAGAAATTTAAAGGTAATTGCACAGTGCGCTCAGAGTGGAAAGAAATTGTAAGAGTACTTTCACCGCCGGGTTCAAGATTTCTTCTTAAATGCGTTTTTCGTGGAGTGACTTTTTTTCTATACTAAAAGAAACTGTATATTCATCTCCTTTCCCCAAAAGAAACCATCAAATTATAATTTCAATTCAAGCGCAAAATCTTTTAGCGTGTTTGAGACAAGATTGGAAATTTATGAGATTTTCCAATATAGACAAATTTGACAATTTTTTTTTTATTATAGTCTTTCATTTTAGTATTTAAATATGAGTGAACGCTCTGAAAGTCAATATGTGATTTTCCTATTATGCCCAAAAAGCGGCACTTGCTAGCGCATGGTGTGATATTTTCTATTTGTTTAGATATTTAACACCACACAATGGGCTTTTATGGTAAATATTAATTCGTTTCGCCAGAGGATTTGACGTGTTTTTCCACCCTCAGGATGTCAATGGTCAAGTTGTCCTCATCACTGGCGGCGGTGGCGGAGTTGGGAGGCTTCTTGCATTGAATTTTGCAAGACTTCAATCGCGAGTGGTCATTTGGGACATCAGTCAGGAAGGTAAGATGATCAAAACACCAACACTTGCGCGCTTTGCGCAGCAAGAGGAATTGCACAATGGTATTTTACGAGAGATAGTATTTCACACATGAAGCCTCATTGTAGTGAAGAGAGCAATTATCTTCGTATGTATGAACCAAGTACCTACTCATTCAGTGAAGAAATTTCTCTTTTTGATCTTTTCAATGAGCCCCAACTTATTCCGTTCATTCACCCGCTCAGTTTCATGCCGATACAATCAATGCTACTGAGCACAAATAATAGCTCATATAGTTTTGCTGCAGTCATTAAGAAAATGAAAGGGAAAATTCATTGGGCTTTGAGTTTAAATAGTTTTGCGGATGGTAATCGACGGAAAGAAGGGAAGACATTTTTTTGTACCAAGTTAAATATTGTCACACTACACGGGCTATATTTCCATCAAGTGTGTTTTCTTAGCATTGAGCAACAATTAACTCAACTCAACAAATAGGGGATCAACTCTGTTTGAGGACAAATAAATCATTTCCATATTAGTCACTTTTCCTTAGTGAAAATATAGTTCATCACTATAATGAATGCGCGAATGTCTTCAGCGAACATATGAAATCAGAGACTCAACAATTGTGTGAATTAACCTTGACCAGCAGTGGTAAACTTGAAAATGAAAAGCTCTCTTGTGTTTTGTGGATAATGAAGTTCCATCTGAATCTATTTTTTGGGCAAATGTCTCGAAGATGAAGGAGAAACCGGTTAAATTTAATTACTCTTCCGCGAGTGTGTTTCAATGAACTTGATATCAAGCATGATATAATCCACATCCGACGCTTCGCATGCAAACTACGTAATTATTTCGGAAGTTATTTTATTTATATGTGTCAAATGCCACATTAGCAGATTTTATTTACATGCATGCGAGGCAAATTTGCACATATGTATATTGCAAAGTACTCTCACTTTCTAGAGGAATTTTTCAGCTAATAGTGTGTTGACAATACTTGTATGATGTTTTGCAAGAAACATTCGACAGAATTTTCAAACAATGCAAATTTGCATATGAAAAATTGGTCTCAGTCACACTTCAATGCGCTCTGTACCAACTTTCACATGCCAACACTATACTTCTTAGAGCTCACATTAAAGAAAATCACACCCCAATAAGGAAAGAAAATTTGCAGTTTCATATTATGTAATTACAGATAAAATTCATATGAATTATTCATAATCATAATCTTTATTTGCAGCCATCAACACAACCATCGATCTCTTGGCAAATGAGGGATTCATTTGCAAAGGATATGTCGTGGACTTGGCCAACAGAGAGAAGATCATGGAGACCATGAGGATTGTTCAGGAGGACATTGGCAAAGTGAAAATACTGATAAACAATGCCGGCACTGTTTGCTGCAAACCTCTGTGGGACCTCCAGGAGAAGGTGATTGAGAACACATACGCCGTGAACATCTTATCTCACTACTGGACAGTGAAGAGTTGCCTGGACGACATGATTGAGTCAGGCGGCCACATTGGTAATTCAGCCTCTCGCTTTCAATGGATTAGTGCAAATAACTAAATTTTGTGTCTCTTTCGCAAACACAGTTACAGTTGCATCCGTGGCGGGATTGTTGGGCACTTACGGCTGCACTGATTACAGTGCCACGAAATTCGCCTGCATCGGTTTCCACGAGGCTCTCTTCAGTGAATTGAGGACTCACGGTCATGACAGAGTGCACATGACTCTCGTATGCCCGTATTACATCAACACGGGAATGTTTGCTGGCGTCCGGCCGCGCTTGATGCCAATGCTCGAGCCCAAAACTGTGGCTGATGCCATTGTGGCTGCTGTGAGGAAGAATCAGGTGAATTGCGTCCTGCCGGACAGCGTGAGGCTTCTTCTGCCCCTCAAGCACTGGCTGCCGGCCAAAGTGTCCTGGGAACTCATGGCGAGAGTCATGAAGGGCCCAAGTTCAATGATGCTCTTCAAAGGACGCGGCAGAGTTGCGGCTGGATAACTTATTTCTGCGTTGTATCGATTTTTCTATTATATATATTATATTTACAACATTTTTCACATTTCTATATGACCATCACGTCTCTTTTATTTGGATTTGCTTGGGCTTGTATTGAGCAAGAGAACATCTTATGTGGTGTTTACAAATATTTGAGCTGGAGAAGACAAAGCATACAATTTCGCCTCTAGTATTCTTTTAGGGTCACGTCTGCAATTATGTTTTTGCTACTCGGACATTTGAAATCACATTTAATGCACGGCTATTAAGAGAAATAATGATGATTGGCAAAACGTAGCAGAGGAAACTAAAAGACAGCGTGTAAGTTATGAAATTCGTACCGCAACTGAGTCTTTATTGATCTTCAGTTCATTTCAGTTCTTACAGCAAATCGTAAAAGTAATCAAGTCCCTGTCCTAGTTCCCAAATAGAAAGTCCTGTGCCCAGTTCTTCTGCCAGCTCTATGCGCTTCTTGATGGAATACAGCGTCGGATAGAATACTATATGGCGTCCGGTCGGTGTTTTCACCTCGAAGAAATTCTCCGCATCATTCTCGTCGTGCTGCAGCCGCCCTTTGACATACTTCAGAAGTCTCAAATACTCGTGCCCAACAATCGGTCCGCCGCCTTCGGGTGTGAAGTCATTCCCGTACATATTCAGTCCCAGCAGGATCTTTTTTCTCTTCTCAGCATAGTTGGGCAAAGTGCGTGGACAGATAAATTCAATGGTGTCGCGCACCCACTTGATCGGCCCATTTGGTCCTGGTCTCTGGGTGTTTGAGTAGTCGTACGTCATCACGGAATAGCCACTCACGTAGTCACTGAGGTAAGCGAAGTTCTCCGGAGTGAATAAGTTGTGCAAGTGATCCCTTTGCGGCGGCACTGCCATGTAGAAAAGGAGTTTCGCCTCCAGCATAGGCTTGGCGATGTCAATCACGAGATTGTACAAGAACGGATCGTCCATCCGGAGAGCCAACGAAGCCCAAATCTCCAGAACAATACCATCGAAGCGATAAGTGTCGCAGGCATTCAGTATTAGGCGTGAAACAACTTTTCTCTCCTCAGGATAAGCCAGGAGTTTTGAGAAGTCTTCATCCTTAAACTTGTCGAACAACACACGTGGAACGACTGAAAAGACATTTCGATAGTGCATTTGAATAATTAAATTAAGTGATGTAATAAAATCACTCACTCTTTGTCTGATAATTGCTGTTCCTCTTGAGATCCTTCATCCAATTCTCATCGATATCGTGCACACCGGCTAGCTTATACTTCCTGTCGCCTTTTCGCAGAATTTGCAGCCAAATTGGTGAAATCACATCGAATTTTGGGGTGAATCTCTTCGCAATATCATATCCATAGCCATTCCACTGAAAAGGAGAAGGTTTAAGTCCTGGTTTAAGTTACAAGTCTGTACAAAGTATATTTTGCTCTTATCATCAAAAAATGTGCCACAACCCATGTCTTTTCCTCTTTCACAACATTTCTTACCGGTGTCACGTATCCCAGCACAGTTCCTTTGAAGTTCTTAAGCGACGTATTGAAGTAATAAGCTCCATTTTCCACCAAAATCTCCCTCGCACTCGGTTCTTCGCGGATTAAATCAGGACGAAGAAAGTCCACCGGACCAGTGCGGACCTTCAGCTCGTTCTTGCCATTCTTCTGTCCTTTTCCGGTCGGTGACAATGTGCAGGACACAATGCCGAATATACTGAACAGGATATTCCACTTAATTCCTACATACATCCTCCTTTTCACACCAAAATCCACAAGACTCGGCTTTTCAGACACTCGATTTATTCTTCTTCTTCCTCCGACTGGAACGTCACCCGGCGCTGTCCCAGAGATTGTAATTTCAAATAACAGCGGTTGATAGCATTAGATGTGATGGATTAAAAGAATTCAGTGAAGAAATCATTGGATTCATCGGGACTATCGTCGGAACTGTGGGAATCTCCATCCAGCATGGTCAAGGGATAAAAATCTATGGCGCATTCTGAAAGATACAACAGAGTTTAATTTTTCTCCCCGATAAAGGAAATTCAGCAACTCACTGTGGACTTCCTGGAAGTTAAAGTGGCGATGGTAGTTCTTTGTCAGACTGCAAATCTTCTGCAGTCGATTCTGTATGTGTTCCCCTGAAATCCTGATCACAATGTTCTGATTGCTAGTGAAGATGCTCCGGAGCAGAAGAACTCCGTGCTGTGCCACTGTTGCTGTCTTCTTGCACCGCTTCTTGCCACTGATGAGCCATTGATTGAGGATGAAGTGTATCATGAGGATTAAACAGCTTGTAACCTTGTTGTGGCAATCGCAGTTAGTTTGGTCAAATAGTGTCTTCACCCAGTCATAATTATCACCGAAGCAGTTTGAGAAGAATATCACGATGTTTAATGTGAGTTCCATCACTGTATCGAGAAACCATTGATTTGGTTTCATTGACATCTTGCACTGATTTGTCTCAGACACGATGCCTTCCAAGAGACTGCAATATACTTGTAGAGCACACGAATTCTCCATGAATTGTTGAATCTTGAACAACTCACTCAGCACGAAACTACTCTGCTCACTGTTGCAACAGAGCAGCTTCAGGAATCCAGAGGTGGCTTTTGTTTTCTGAATCTCCAAGAGGAATCGCGACATGGTCAGCAAAGTAACCATCTGAGGTCGACTCATGACGAGATTCTTGAAGAATTCACCGGCAAACTTCAGATGATCCGCACGATCACCAAACTGAGGCGCCAATGCAAGTAAAATCTGCGCTGCAGCGTGAATCAACATGGTGTGGCTGATGAAATTGGTCTGAAAACACCAAAATCCTGTTAAGAGGTCTTTAAACAGAATCCTCAGAGATGGGAAAGACACTCACAGAATAGCCAATTGCGTAGAGAGTCTTCAGAAGGACGTTAGCAAAACTATCCTTAGATGAAGAAAGCGAATCGTCATTGCTCTCGATCGCAATCGTCTCCAGTAGATGGTTAATTATAGGGAATTTCCCACAGGCATACGCCACCGTGGCTAGAAAGCGTCGCCCTTCAATACTGGCCTCGGACTTAAAGAGTTTCCTGCAAAAGAAATTACATTAAGAATCAATTGTCGATATTCTGTAATCACACAAAGTTTACACTTACTCAGTTGCCAATAAATCTATCTCGCCGAGACGATTCTCAAGTGCCTCAAAGTAGCTGAGCTGCTGATGTTCTAGGGTGGGATTATATAGAACGTCTGTGTATGTAGCGAACTCCAGCTTTAGCGAATGCTGCTTGATCTGAATGAGGCCCTTTAGAGCCACTCTTTGCAAATCCTTATACAGCTCCGCGAGCACCAAATCCTGCCCCTGACGCCCAAGAGCACAAGACACGATGTTTTGCAATTCAGTAGTGAACTTCGTGAGTCGCTTATCCATATCAATACTTCGTGTTTTGGTCTTGCAATGAAGAACATCGAAATTATCGTCCTCCTCGAAGTTCAATCGCAAGAGATCCAGCGTCGGCAGATTCAAATCGTAATCTTCATCCTTCGGTGCATTTGTTTGCTGAACATTGAAGCTGCGCTCCACAGCATTTCGCATCTGATTCTCCGCCTTCAAGGCACTGATCTGCTTCTCCAGATCTTTCATTTTCATCAGCAAAGCATTCTGCATCTTTTCAGCCTCTGCTTTCGCCTTTGCACTCGAACTTCCATGTATTGCTTGCAATTTCTCAAGCTCAAAACGCAGCGTAGAAGCCTCACCGTCTCTGATTTGATATCTGTTGGAAATCTTCGAATTTTCCGCCTTGAGATCATCAATTTGTTTCCTCAACTTCATAACTTCCTCACTCGAAGGCGCCGCTTGTATCAGCGGTTTTGATCTGGATCCACCATCCGGAAACTTGGAACATCCTGGCTGATCTCTCTGCGTGCTTGAATTCACTTCCCGGCTAAATCTCTCGAATGTGATGTCAGTGTAATCAGCGTTATTCTTCTGATCACTCCTCTTATCCTTGCCCTCTATTTCATCCGCCACCTGTGACGCCAGCAGAAGAAACTCATCATTGTCATCCCACAAATCATCTTCCTCAACTCTTGTCTGATATGCTGTGAAGGAAACATCTCATATTAGACATCAATCTAAAGACTTTTCTTGATTACTAACTTTTTTGTTGATCGTTTGCCGCGTTTGCCGCGCTCGCCGGTTGAAGGTTGGTGTGAATATTCACATTTGTCTCTGCTTTTATTTCAATTTTGGCCCTCTTCTGCACAAATTTGTCACGGAACACACTTGAGTATCTCTTTGACATGATTTGCGATGTAGAAACAGCGGAAAATCATCAGAATCAAGGAGAAACAGGGAAAAGCAAAACACGTTTTTTATTGTTTATGGCTGCCCCAATGAAGTTGGCTATAAATCAAGTGCGTTTGGGACACGCGATCAGCTGATTGTCTGCAGTGTTTTGTCGCGGCGTAATTGCATGAGGAAATATCGCGAAATCGTCTTTAAGTGCGAATAACACAAAAATGTATCACATTTTCCGAAAAATTTCATCCAACGGCGTGTCACTGCTCCAGGTGACGTGCAAACCGACTGTTATTTGGCAAAATACAAGATTGCTCTCGAGAGGCAAGTGAAGTTGAGGTGTTTGGTTATGTTTGCTTGATTTATTACGGGTGTTTTCGTCCTTTTTGCAGATATCAAATCAAAATTCAGTATTGGGGACGAAGTATTGGATGGCAGACCTCTCTATCTCGATGCGCAGGCGACCACACCACTGGTTAGTGTTCAGTTAAAATGAGAATGCCCAGACACCTCTATATTCTGGACAGAAGGCTATTAATTGTGTCTTTCTCTTGCTTTCTCTGCTCAGGATCCCCGAGTTCTCGATTCGATGCTTCCATACTTGACTAGCTACTATGGGAATCCTCACTCCAGGACACACGCTTATGGGTGGGAAAGCGAGGAGGCGATGGAAAAGGCGCGCGCTCAAGTGGCTGGACTGATTGGCGCTGATCCGCGAGAGGTGATCTTCACTTCGGGCGCCACAGAGTCCAACAACATCAGCGTGAAGGGTGTGGCGCGGTTCTACGGCGAGAAGAAGAAGCACGTTATCACCACACAAACGGAGCACAAGTGCGTGCTGGACTCTTGCCGGGCTCTCGAGGCTGAGGGCTACCGCGTGACGTACTTGCCGGTGCAGCAGAATGGGCTTGTGGATATGGAGGAGCTGGAGCGCGCTCTCACGCCAGACACATCGCTGGTGTCTGTGATGATGGTGAACAATGAGATTGGCGTGAAGCAGCCGGTGGCGGAGATTGGGGCGCTCTGTCGCTCCAAAGGTGTCTTCTTCCACACGGACGCGGCTCAGGCGGTGGGGAAGATTCCCATCGACGTGAACGCCATGAAGATTGATCTCATGTCGATATCAGGCCACAAAATCTACGGGCCCAAAGGCGTTGGCGCCATTTACGTGCGGCGTCGGCCGCGCGTGAGAATTGAGGCCATCCAGAGTGGCGGCGGTCAGGAGAGGGGCATTCGCAGTGGCACTGTCCCTACGCCACTGGCAGTGGGTCTGGGCGCAGCCTGCGACATTGCATCACGGGAGATGGAGTATGATCACAAGTGGGTGACTTTCCTTTCCGACAGACTCCAAAAGACCATAACTGAGGCCTTGCCTCAGGTCATCCGCAACGGGGATCCCACGCAGACTTATCCGGGATGTCTCAATCTGTCCTTTGCTTACGTCGAGGGAGAATCTCTGCTGATGGCGCTGAAGGATATCGCCTTGTCCAGCGGTTCGGCGTGCACATCCGCTTCTCTGGAGCCTTCCTACGTGCTGCGCGCCATTGGGACGGACGAGGATCTCGCGCACAGCTCCATTCGCTTCGGCATGGGCAGATTCACGACTGTCCAGGAGGTGGACTACACAGCTGAGAAGTGCATCAAGCACGTGACCAGGCTGCGGGAGATGTCCCCACTGTGGGAGATGGTGCAGGAGGGCGTCGACTTGAAGGCGATCCAGTGGTCTCAGCATTAAATTGGTGATCTAGACTTTATCACTTCATAGTTACACTTTATTAAGCGGTGGAGTAATAAAACATATTTAAGAGGTATTAAATTAAAGAAATGTGATTCAGCAACGAGTTTCCTTGGCCAAGAGTACAGAGAGAATTCAAGGATTGGACTGCGCTTGGCGGGATTTGGTAGTTTTAGCATATACACGACGGGTCGCGCCCCTCTTCGGCCGGCTCGATCTTGAAGCCGTGCTGCTCCAGCGCTTGCAACTCGAAGCGGGAGCGATTCAGGGTGACCAGGTGTGTGGCGATGTCCTTGAACATCTCCTCGACACCGTCGCCAGTCTTGCAGGACGTCTTGTAGGTCGCACTGATGAGGCTATGGCACTGCTCGCAGAACGCCTCCATGTCCGCGTCCGTGACTTGGGGCGTGTTGGCTGACTCCAGGTCGGATTTGTTGCCGCACAGGTAGATTTTGGCATTCTCAGCATACGTCACGATCTCCAGCATGTGCTGGGATAGAGAGTGGAAACTAGTGGCATTGTCCAGGGCGAATACAAGAATTGCAGCCTCGGCGAACTTGTAGTAACTCGACGTTATTGAAGCCACTCTCTCCATTCCGCCCGTGTCCCAGAGTTGCAGCTGAAAGGGCAGAAAGTTCAGCAAACTCCCAGAATTTCCAGCCCTCTTCTCACCTTGATCTCCTTGTCGCCCACCGCGTAGCTCTTGTCGAAGTGGTCCAGACCCAGCGTCGACTGCCGGTTGGACGTTGGCACGAAAGTATTGTTGAGAAATCTGCGGAAGAGGCTGCTCTTCCCCACGCCGTATTCTCCACAGAGGATTATCTTCTGTTCTGGAATTCTCACTAGAGCCATCACAGTTTTGTATCAAAAACACGCGTACAAAATTCTTTTCACTGGTCTTCGATGTGATATCTTCTCTCTAATTAATTTCCTAACTCAAAACTGCAGGAAAACTTTGTTTTCTTCGCTTTCTCTTCATCTGACAGCGCGAGCAGCTGATTTTTTGGGACAAAACTCGTGCCCCTCAATCGACCGCAGCGCGCCCGAGTGTCGAAGAAGGGTATTGATTTTTCCTGTGGCGTATTCGTGTATTCGGTGATATTTCTCCCAAATATTGCCTGAAAATGCTATCAAAATCACGCAATATTATTCAGAAGATTGTAAGTACTTCTCACCAATTACTCTATTCATCTAAATTCACCGATAGACATTCAATTTGAGTTGTATTCATTGTGTTACATAATTGACATAACCCTCTTTTATTTGTGTGTTTGATTTGTTATTCTTTCCAAATAGTGGGGCACTTCTGCCCGGTATCTTCAGACCACGACAGCGAAATGCAGTGACAATCTCTTCGTCCACCGTGATACGCCCGAGGACAATCCCAACATCCCCTTTGAATTCACGCCGGAGAACAAGAAGCGCGTTGAGGCCATCATGAGCATATATCCGGAAGGCCACAAGAGAGCGGCGATGATTCCGCTGCTGGATTTGGCGCAGCGTCAGTACGGCTGGCTCCCAATTTCCGCCATGCACAAAGTGGCTGAGATCCTTAATCTGCCCAATATGCGCGTTTACGAGGTGGCGACTTTCTACACCATGTTCTTGAGAAAGCCAACCGGAAAGTATCATATTCAAGTGTGCACAACGACGCCGTGCTGGCTGCGGGGCTCCGACGAGGTGCTGCAGACGTGCATGAAGAAGCTCAATATCGGCGTCGGTGAGACGACAAAGGACAAGAACTTCACAATATCCGAAGTTGAGTGCCTCGGCGCGTGTGTCAATGCCCCAATGATGGCGATAAATGATGACTATTATGTGAGAATGGCCAGAAACTCCTTGGTTTCGACGACTACTAAAGTCTTTGTTGTGCTTTCAGGAGGATTTAACGGTAAAGGACACAGAGGAGATTCTCGAGGACTTGAAGAAGGGGCGCAAACCTGTGGCAGGCCCGCGAAGTGGGCGTTTCGCTTCTGAGCCAAATGGAGGACTGACATCGCTGACGGAAGAGCCCAAAGGTCCGGGATTTGGACTGCAAGCTGGTCTGTAGATAAAAGCTATTTATCCACCAGAAGATTCAGAATGTGAGTAGATTAAAATTCAAAATACGTCAAATAAACTTCAATTGCATTGAATCCACATTTGCGCGATTTGACATTTTAAAAGGTATTTATTATTAAATTACAAATTGAATAATTGAGATTTTTCATACTGGAATTATGCGGAGAATTATCACTCCTCATTGAAGGCTTTATTCGCGATGCCTTCCTTATTCGCTTTCTGCTCCAGAGCAATATTGTTATCCACGACCTTTTCACCCTCTTCCGCTGCATTCTCATCGCTGTACACCACATATTTGTATCGCATTGCGATGAGAACGAAAATGCCCATATCGATTGCCATCATTGTGGCAAACTGGAAGAATTCCGCAGACTGAGAGTCGAAGAACTTGAGCTGTGTTATCGTCACGACGAGGATATTGCCGAAGGCGACAGTGAGGAGCCAGCAGGCTTGCAGGACGGACTTCATGCTGACTGGCGCTTGCGAGTAGGAGAACTCCAGGCCAGTCACGGAGAACATCACCTCGCCGGCAGTCATGGTGACGTACTGCGGAATCTGCCACAGCATGTGAACCGAATTGGCGGGCGACAATTCGAACTCCCTCAAGACCTGAAAGGAATGAAATCAGTGGAAATAAGCTAAAAACTCTGCTTAGCCATGGAGTTGGATTTCTGTAGCTAACTCAAATATTCTCAGATTCAATTTCAAGCTTAATAGAAAAGAGTTAAGCTTTGCAAATGCAAATCAATCTTCTTGATTCCAAAATCTTCGCGAATTGATACATTAGAAACTAAATTAAAAGATCAATACACAGATTGATCCTATAAAAGTGTAACCTTTAGAAATACCCACCAAATCTTCTGCACCATATTTGGTTAGAATGTAGCTTTTCACGCTTCCTACGCCAACACTTGTGGTGTACTGAAGTGGCACTCCTTCCACATGAGTCTTCCATGTGCCAACGGGAACACTGAATCTCTTCATATTTGGCACAGAGTATGTTTGAGAATTGTCCTCCTCATTCACGAGATTCACAGAAGTATTGTGAATGTTCATAAAGAATCTCAGTACAGGGAGACTCTCTTTGGATTTCGTTGGTGAGTCTTCAAATTGATCAAATTTCGGTTCTGTCTGGCCATCGAGAATATGTGCAATCACGCCAACGACTTCCTTGTCCATCGGAGTCACCTGGAATTGCAGTCTTGGCGGGCAATGTGGTATGTTCGTGCCAATGAACTTCATATCAGTGAATATCTCAAATGGGCGGCCATCGGCTGGAATCTCCAATTTCTCAGTCAGATAGACATTTCGGGGTTCGATGGTGATGTTCTCGAACTGTCCGTCGATGTTGAAGACGTAGGGACATGGCATTGCGTTGTAAATGCGTATTTGAGTATATCCACTGGGCGGAAGCGTTGGATAGGCGGACTCAAGCCTTAGTTCTACCAATCCCGACAGGACGAATGCAATGGCCGCCAAGATTCCGCCAAGTGTGAGCTTCTGAAGCGGCCTTCTGATGCCAATCTTGGCCAACATCGGGTAGATTGCAACGTCGAAGAGTGGAATAAATGCGAGGATTAGCAGAGGATTGATCACTTGCATCTGATCTGGTTTAATGGTCGTGCCTCCAACTTTGCCATCCATTCGCGTTGCCTGGAATGTCCATCGTGAGCTTTGTTGATCGAAGAGCGCCCAGAAGAATGGCAGTGGTAAATATAGAATGAGAATTTTCAGTAAAACTTTCACATCTCTAACCAAAATTCTCCCATATTTTGGCTCTGCATATTCCAACCAACTGGATCTCGCGTTGTTCTTTCCCTCTCGCCATCGCGTGACAATTGCATTTCCTATGCACTTCGACACCAAAACCACCATATTTCCGGTGGGCTTTGTGATCTTGTACAGTGGCTTTCCAGCCACGAATATCACAATAGATATGATCATCAGAATTGCCGGAACACCAAAAGCCAGTGAATAGCAATGGAATTCGCCAAAACACTTGACATCCTCCCTGAGAATTGGTGTTACAAGTGTGGAGAAAAATGATCCTGCATTGATGGCGAAGTAGAAGAGTGAGAAGAAGCTCGCGAGAATGGCTGCTTGCTCGGGCAGTTTAAATTGATCCCCGCCGAAGGATGCCACACAGGGTTTTATCCCTCCAGTGCCAATGGCAATCAGCAGCATTCCCACGAAAGTCATGACCTTAATCGGCAAATGCAGAAGTGGTATTGCTCCCAGGGAAATGACCACGCTTCCAGTTGCATAGACTGAAAGAAACAACACATTAACATGATTTGGTGTTGTGATTCAGCGCTAGATTTACGGTCAGTTCCTTACCTATCGATAGCAGGAAGATTGTTTTGTACTTCCCAAGCCAACTATCAGCTATTATGGCACCGAAGACAGGGAAAAAGTACACAAAGCTCACGAAAATGTGATAGATCGCCGTGGCATCATCATCGCTGTAGTTCAATTTGTTTCTCAAATAGAGAACCAAAATGGCTTTCATGCCATAGAAATTGGCTCTTTCTGCCAATTCATTGAGCAAAATGAAGATGACGCTTTTGGGAAAGCTCTGAAAAAGAATTCCCCCCCAGAAAAAAGAGAAAGAAAAATATTATTGATCATAAATAACATCACGAGACTGCGACTTAAAAAAATTCGCCAAAAATTTTATCTCATCTCAATGACACATTTCTCTGAAAAAGTCAACAAGCATTGTGTCGTAATGTCGGGTGGAAAATACAATTTATTCGGTTTTTTTTTTTAAATGAAATCAAAAGAGAAGAATTTTATGGCGAGAGAAAACCATGTAGGCAGATCACCCAATATTCATTCATAATATTGCAAAATATCCAAATAGCCAAAGTTGTTTTCATTTTGGTAACGTTGCGCTTCGCTGTGCCAGTTGTTGTTGCTCGTTTTTCTTTGCCGTGATGGATACGCAAATTTGCTGAGAGCCATCAATTTTACACTCGAACATGTTCAGGGTTGGCGAACGGAAAGGGGAACGAGAGATCGATTATTTTCATATAATAACAATAATAATAACACTGACACAAATTAGCGGCCGATTAGCAAAAAATGTATTTCTTGTTTATGGACTTTGCAATGCATTTATTCGCTGAATTTCGCACCAAAGTGAATTTGTGTGAATCTCAAGAGTCAGATCATGCGTAGTGATTAAATTTTACCTCTTCCTTGGGAAAAATCTAGTTGAAAAATAGAAATCCGAGGTCTTAAGTAAATATATTACGAGTTGAATATTCGAGGGGTTCATTGAAAACTATGGAATGTTGATTAATTATAGTTTGCGTCATATAAATTTATGGAAAGATTTTGATCTGTTCTAAATAATCATAGATTTTAAATGAGAATTTTTGGCATATTTTTTGATTTTTTTTTAACTGAGAAGTTTGAAGAAAAAAAAAATACATGAGAAGTTAATTTTTTGGTACTTGTTTGGATAAAATGTAACACAAAAGATTATGAAAATAAAATCGGCTCTGGAAAGTAATATTTTCAGTTTATCTATTAACTTTGCCATTTTTCACTCAAAAATGTCAATAAATACTAATAAAAACAACTGAAATATTTTCAAAATAATTGTTACAGAGCAATATTAGCATTCTAATGAAGGATTAGAGAAGTTGTTTCAGGTAAATTAGGTGAATTTTGCAGCGAAAAATAGCGATTTTGACTTCTCATTGTTTTCGATTCACCCGTCGAATATGTGTTGTGAGCATTCTACAAAAATTTCAATACCATGAAAATATGGAGAAAATCGCCTGAACCAAGTAATTATTATACAAATACGATAAGAGGCAATTAAATGCACTACCACATAATGTAATTTTGAAGCAAATTATGGCCTCATAAAACCACTCTATCAATCTTGTCTGTTTCAACAATATTCCTGTACTTTTGCGCCGTAGTGAAAATATTTTAAAATACTTGAAAGAATCAAACAAGTGCACAAATTTCATGTCAAGGCTCTTCAGAAAACTTAATGTCGAATGCATGGAGCGTAACTTAATGTGAAAAAAACCCCAATTGAGTGACAATTTTTGTACAGCTCTATAGACACAGAGTTCCTTGAGTTGATCTAGCACAGATTAATACAATCGCCAAAACAGTTAACAGAGGAAAAAATTACCAATAAACTGCCTAGCACCATTTTTGCTTCACAATGTGCACAATAGCATTTATCAATCAGGCAAAGGAAGTTTTGTACTTGTGTCCAGAAGTAGAATACACGTAGGAACTTTTATTTTCACTTTTCTTCTCCCAATGCCACATGGGAAACACCTTTTCTGCACACTCTTCTCAATATTATCAGTAGTTTTTCCTCAACACCAGTGAACTGGGCTTCCGTATGGGAGAAAAAAACAAACAATAACACCGGAATTTCAATATCGCTACACTGCTGCAAAGTGAACAATTAACGGGGTGAGAGATGATGTTTTCTCCTCACTCTTTTCGACACGTTTCAAGAGAAATAATTGAAGATTTCCGATCCGATGCCAATGGCATACATTCAGCGACTGATTTGCTAGCGCGGCATTCGAACACTTCATGTGGAGTCTTCGTCAGAGAACAACTTTTTACTTTTACAATTGCGAGAGTGAGAGAGAGTGAGATGGCATTTGTAAAGAAGAATTACGCATGGAAAATCTGAATTACTCAATGATGAAATTGTGTGCATCGCATTAAACGTACTTCTCTCTCTCCAGTTTAACGGATTGATATCACTAATTTCGGCTTTGACACGAACGTTGGCATTGTTTCAATGCAACACCGACAACAAGATCAGTTGACACAGACTTGTGTGTATGGCAGGTATGAGAGTATTGAGACAATTTATTAGCTGTAAATTTTATGAGTTGTGCCAAAGAGACATTCTTGAGACACTCTTCAATGGAGTGTGCTGAGTTTTAACAATATTTCAACTCTCAGTTTCATCTTTCCAGTAGTTTCGCAAACACATTAAATTATAATTGAGTTCCGTTAATGTTTCAATGTAATAATGCACACTGAAAGCTTGTTAGAAGTCTCACCTTAGGAGCGGTAAAATGGAATTAATGGGAAATGAAACAGTGAGTGGAGAAAGTACGTGAGTTTTCTTGAAATTCTTACCTTTATATCCTTTATCATTGTATGTAACCGCCTTATATTTTCTTTCATAATTTTTGCGTGTCTTTGCTGTTGTCGTCACGTTTTCTGGTCGATGTTTTGCAGGCGAAGTCTGACGAAATTGGGAGTTTTTGTCGAATGAACACTTGATTTTCTCGTGAATTGTGCAAATTTTTAGAGACACTTTTCATCAGGGTTGTTTGGTGCACAAAGCAAAAGTAAAATAAGTGGCCAAGAATATTTTCTTTATATAAATTAATGAACATTTTGAATATAACAGCTTTCCAATTCATTTATTCAATCTATTATTTGGAGAATTTTAAGAATTTCATCCTTCTCTATTTCTATTAAGACCTTTTAATAGATTGTACACATAAGTATTTAGTCTTCTTTCAAATTGGTACTCGAGAGTGTGACGGATTTTTCATTGCTTGTCTCGTTGGCGTCATCTTTCTTCGTGTCCTTATCATCGCCAACACCGCCCACGTATTTGTAGCGATACGCGAGGATTGCAAAGATGCCCATGTCGACAAACATCAGTCCGGCAAAGAGGAAGAACTCAGCAGTCTGAGAATTGAAGATCCTGGCGCTGGCAATGATGGTCACGATGACATTTCCCACGCCAACAGTCAATTGCCAGGCTGATTGGATCACGGATTTCATGCTCTCGGGACTCTGAGAATAGGAGAACTCCAGGCCAGTCACTGAGTACATCACCTCGCCCAGCGTGAGGACAATGTATTGCGGAGCAATCCAGAGCATGTTCATGGAATTTGGTTCTGAGACTTCCAGAAGCGTCGTCGTCTGTGGAGAGAAGTTTCGATTTAAGATAGTAAATAGGCAAACAGTGAGATTGAACTTACAAATGAATTGGTCTGTGCCTCCCTGAGGATCAGTGTATAAACTCCGCCGAGTCGCAACTCATATTCCACTACGCGGTTATTATTGACGTAAATATCGTAGGTCGATGGCCAAATCTCATTTCTACCATGTTGACTAGTAACATTCTCATATCTCACGTTGAATTCGTCGTGAATGTCTCGGAAAGATATGGAATGCACACCTTCCGTATTCGCCAGCACCCGCACAATTGGATACCCATTGGAGGCTTTCTCTGGATCGTCAGTGTACTCCAAAATGCCCTCACGTCTCAAGAAGTAGCTCTTCGCCGTGCCCGAAGCCAATTGGAATGAACCAGTGAAGGACAAATCACTGCAAGCGGCATTGGTGGACGACATGGTGTATGTGAACGATCTCGTATTCTCCACCGCGATGTGTCGCTCAGTGAAAGCTTCCATTGAATTGATAACGATATTCGCGTGATCGGGAATATTGGTTTGAACATTGTAGGTGCACGGCATTCCGTTGAAGATTCTCAGCTGTGATTCTCCCGCCTCGGCAATGATGGGATATGTCTTCGACAGCTGAATCTCCAGAATGGCAGAAATAATGAAAGCCACGCCAGCCAGACATCCGCCCAATGTGAGCTTCTGCAGAGGCCTCCTGATGCCAATCTTGGCCAGAAGGGGATAGAATACGATGTCATAGAGAGGAATGAAGATTAAGATGAGCGCCGGATTGATCACTTGCATTTGGTCGGGCTTCAAATTCAGAGCACCCACTTGGCCATCCATGCGAGTGGCTTGGAAGGTCCAGCGCGATCCTTGTTGATCGAACAACGCCCAGAAGACAGGAAGAGGAATGTACAGAACCAGGACATTGAAGAGTGTCTTGATTTCCGACACGAGCTGCTTTCCGTGCTTCTCCTCAGCATAATCCAGCCAGTGTTCACGCGGATTTGTCTTCCTCTCCTTGCGTCGCGTGGAAATGGCATTGCCAATGCACGATGACACGCGCACAAGCATATTGCCCGCCGGTGGTTTGAGGACGTACAAGAATTTGCCGGCAACGAAGATAAGAATGGATGTGAACATGAGGATTGCGGGAACGCCAAAGGCCAGGGAGAAGCAAGTGTCCTGCTCAAAGCATTGCACATCCTGTCGGAGAATCGGCGTGACCAGGGTAGAAATCATCGATCCGGTGTTGATGGAGAAGTAGAACAGGGAGAAGTACGTTGCCATTGCCTTGAGCTGTTCGGGCAATTTGAACTGATCAGCGCCAAGGGCTGTGACGCAAGGCTTTATACCTCCAGATCCGAATGCAATCAGGAACAAACCGACGATCGTGATGGCCGTTGCGTTCAGATTGAGCGTGGGAATTGCACCCACAGACATTAGAATTGATCCGGTGACATAGACTGAAATGAGATGTAAGATAGTTGTTGAATTTAAGTGGTTTGTCCGAAACTATTCTGTTCTTCCTAATTGTACTTCACGTGTTCAAGTATCGCCAAGAGTAGGGCTTAAGTTAGTAGTGAGTCAATATTGCTGACATGCTATCATTTATAATTACATATAAAGTGTTTGGATGACTAATGATATGGGATTGTTGCATTAGCTAGTTGGCGAAAAGCCACACGTTTGCTATTAAGTGCAACTGTTCAATATTTTTTGGGCAAAAAAGTGTATGTTGAGACAGTGCAATATGGTGAATCTCTAAACTTAGGTGGCAATAAATGTGTATATGAATACGTAATGATACGCATAAGGTCGGCGGCCCAAGATGAGCCAGAGACTTGATAGCGAAGGTGGGTAAAAAGGGTTATCATAGAGAGTTGTTTGTATGGAAACTCACCGATTGATAAGTAGAGGATCGTGCGGTATTTCCCTAGCCATGAATCCGCGATGATAGCTCCAACAACCGTGAGAAAGTACACGGCACTGGTGAAAGAGTGGTAAATAACAGTGGCAGTGTCCTGATCGAAGAATAGCTGTCTGGTGAGATAAAGCACTAAGACGGCTACAGAGATAAAGGAAATTGTGTTGAAATTTATAAGTGTTTAACAAACAAGCAACTCTCAATCTCTCAAAGACTTACTTCTCATGCCATAGTAATTGAATCTCTCGCACAGCTCGTTGAGGATGATGAACCCAATTTGTTTGGGATATTTGTATTTCTGAGGAGCAATTTAAATGATATGTTTTTATGCTATTAACTCTTACTATGCGATGCTATGAATTTACCTTCACTTGTCCCTCCTCATCATTTGCCTCAACGGTGTCCGCAGTCGAATTGTCATTCGCAGTTGTGTCTATATGTAGAAAGTACGCAAAGGAAAATCAGTTTTTAGGGTTGGGAACAATCTTTTGCATTATCTCCAAACTGTAAACGTGACCAAGACCCCCAATAATAATCTTTATAATCTACGACGAGCACGAATAATGATGGGTTCATTGTGATAATCAGCAATCAATCAAAATAGACTATGAATATAGCGCAATATTGGTCTCTCCAGGTATTGAGATAAAACACATAATCGCATGTGCCATAAAAGAGTCAAATTTGTGAAGGCAAATAAGAGGCGATGAAAACAATTGCTATCCGTGTCAAATGGGAGAAAAAAAAAGCTTTACCTTGTTGAGAGGAAGAATACACTTCTACAATATTGAGTGCGCAAGTGATAAGTAAGACTTTGGAATGTTCGCTAGGTAACAATTGTGATTGATCGCTGGTCATAAATTCCAAGACTATGAGCATCATTTTGTGAAGGATGTGCTTTTGCACTGAATTTTGTTTGTCGCGTTATGAATAACTTACCATCATTCTTGGGGTCCTTCGCCATGTTGACCAAGGATGGGAACTTCTTGTCACCTCAAATTTACAATAATTGCTGCTAAGTGAAGTTTCTATTGATTAATAGAGGATCTCAGGTTCAGAACACTTGTTCTCCCACTGGAGATCGAACACTGACTGACATAAAATGCGTGGAATCCACGCGACGAGGTCTAAAAAACCGCTTGTTCAGTTTATCAAATATCTCTTCAACAATCCAAACGACTGATAATAAAGTTGCTCTTGTGGCTACACTATTGCCCATTGAGATTTTCCAACAATACAGTACTTGAAAAACACTGTACGAGTGTGAGGGTTTATTCGAGTGGACTGAGAGTGTACTTGATACAAAAATTTTCTCTTTTTTCCAATAAACCTCTTCCCATGGCAGAAAAAAGTGTGAGTGTTGTATAGTTTTTGGCACCCATGGACTTTATTTTTGCTTGTTCCACAAAAATAACAATTTAAGTAGATTAAATGTGTTTTTTTTCTTCTGCATATCACACTTAAAACTAAAACTAAAAATTTTGCCACATTAAGTAACACCTCTAATTACTACTTTACTGTCTTTGTTATGTCGTTGGTCTCTAATTGTAAAATACAGCAAATTGCTTATCGAGTCTCTGATTCGATAAGGTGAAGAAATCAATTTTTTTATTGTCTTTTAATTAATGCATATGTTTTCTGATATTCTGACTGACTTCCAAAAGTATTGGTTTGACTGTAAAACATTTTGTAAAGTTACACACTAGTCAACACACCAAACACATCACCATTCCTTGACTTATTTCTACGAATACTATAGTATTTAAATCGGGGTAACAGCATTTTGCCAGAACTCCGGAAGCATTACGTTGCCGTCTCGTTCTGCACGAAGGCCTGATTGACGTAGGACGAAGGCTCGCTGTCCAAGATTCTCTCGAAAACCTGCGAAAAGAGAGCATAGAATGCCTTCATTTGCTGCACATTCACCTTGAAGGTGGGGTTTCGGGAATTTCACTCACCCTATCTAATAGACATTGAGATACTGTGAATGAGATATTTCGATCGGCGCAAAACCGATGGAGCTTAGAGAATAATTCACTCAAGAGCCATGGCGATTCCTCAGCTGTCGTCGTGCAGTTTGTTGATTTAACTTGGACAATAAATTGAAGTGTATGGCTGTGAATCATGAGACTTTCTACGTTAGGAAATTCACGCTTGAGGTCCCTCTCAATAGTGAGGCTTTCGACTTTGTCGAAAAAGATCGTGACGGCGTAGCTGTTGCCACATGTCGTCTTGAGCTCACTGGGAGTTCCCGTGGAAATAATCTGTCCATTTTTCAATATCGCAATACGATGGCACACATTGTCGATTTCTGATATTGTGTGCGATGTGAGAAGCACAGACCGATTCTGCTTGATTAGATTCTCGATGGATTTATAGACCAAGGACCGTGTCACGGGATCCATGTCACTTGTTGGCTCATCCATCACTGTGGGGGGAGATTAAAGAAACGCATTAGTTTATAGTACTCATTCAGTAATAACTTAAGGGCTGATACTCACAAACTAGGCTCGTATTTCCCATACAAGTCACAGCTACGCTCAGTTTGCGGCGATTTCCTCCGCTGAGATTCTTCACCAGGACATTCTCATAAGGCTCCAAATGATAAGTGGCCAGAGTGTTTGCGACCAGGCTGTGCAAGTTGTCAATCATGCGCAATTTCCCGTAGAACGTTATTACTTCTCTTACTGTTAAGAGATTGTCAACGGCATTGGTTTGAGGACAGTAAGAGATTCCCTTGCAGTCCATAAACTCAACAGTTCCCGATGTCTGCTTGAATTGTCCCGAGAGGATACCAAATATTGTGGACTTTCCTGCTCCATTGGCACCCAAAAGGCCAAAGCATTCTCCACTCTTCACGGCAAAACTCACATTATTTAGCGCTAAAACTCCCTTTCCATATGTCTTGGATAAATTCTCTGCAACCAAGCAGTTGCTCTTGTCCTTTAAGTTGAATTTCGTGTCCTTCTGCAGGGTGTTCTGAATAGATACAATCTGAAGTTCTCCAGTGAAGTTTTTCTCGTGATACACTTTAGCCAGGATGACTCTCCACAAGCCACTTTCGATGACATAGTTTGTTATCATCGCCGCCACTCCCACCACAATGAGCAGTGATATGTGTGGAGCCAGAAGATCCGATGCAATTGGACTTTTGTAGGAGTCAATGCCGAATTTAGTGAAGAACACAGCTGTAATGTAGTTCTTGCAGAGCTCCAGCAAGCCATCGCTGAGGGCGTGCTGAGGAAAGATTAGGAAGGCCCTGTTGAGGAAGTTACGCACCTTTACACTCTCCTCAGACTCTCCAATGATGTCAAACATGAGTATAATTGCTAGCGTGGAGAGTGCAATTATAATGTTGAGACAGAAGATTGTCATATTCGCGTAACTTGCGTCACTGAAGAATTTCTCGGCCACGTGAATGGATGGTATCAATGCGAAGCCGAAGAAGAATAATAGCATAATAAAGCCATAAAGTTGAGAACGCGCTACGAAAATGGGCAAGGCAAATATTTTAAATATTATCACAGCCAAAATTATCGCTCCTATGTAGATAAGAAAGTCCCAGGAGAATGCCACTGCCCAATAAATCTTCCTAGACACTCCGCAGAGCTTCTGCTGGAGCTTTTCGCCACTCACGCGCTCACTCACAATGAACACAGATCCGCCGGCCAAGACCAAGCTCATAGCCACCAAGAGGATTAGGGCGATTGCAGCATCGGCAACTTGTTGCAGCCTAGACATAGAAATTGTGGATTAGCATAAGTAAAAGGGGTTGAGGGGTATAAATAAAGTTGTGTACTTACACAGAAGTTGTGCTTAGCGCTTGTCCCAGCTTGAACGGATGATTGGTTGCTTCTATAGAATAGCCTGTGTCGTTGAGTTCTTCCTTGAACAGGGCGTTGTTCAGTTGATTAAGATACGATGGCATGGAGTGATATCCTTTGTTGTTGTACCAAACAATGGCTCTGGAGTCATTGAAGGTACTTCCGCCATATCTACGTCCTTCGTACTCATCGTTGGTCTTCAGAATCCACTTGAAAGCCTCTTTGGAGTTATCAAATATTTCGCAACTGTCGTTTCCTGTGCAGTGTTCAGTGATCCGATTATATACGCCCGACGTGAAATTATTTCCATTGCTGAGAGAGTAGAATTCTTTGCTGCCTGGGTAATTTTCCGGGGTGAACTTGAGAGCGACGTCGTAATCATCTGGAGGTCTCAGCTTCATAAAGCCCATTGCAATGAGTTCAAATATCGCTGGCAGCAGCAGAATTGATATCAAGGCACGATAGTTTCTCCTGAAGTGCGTGATTCTCTTCCAAAATAGAATTTTCACAAGATCAACGAGGCCCATTTGCTGATTCTCTTGGAATTTGGGTTTACTGTCCTTCGTCAGTGTTAATTTCTTATCCAAGACCAACGGCGGCGCTCCGTTATGATAATTCCCATTTGGAGATGCATTGTATTGATTGAAAATATCTTCAAGGTTCTTACTAACAATATTCAATTGAACAATTTTTCCCTCGTCTTCCATTTTTTCCATTACTTTCAGAAGTGGCTCATAGCTTGAAGAATAAGAATAGAGAGAAATATGAGAAGAAATTAATATTCATAATAATTAATGTTGAATATTATTTTGCAGACAGCATACTTACTCATTGAGAACTGAGTTGGTGTAGTAGGGCAATGTAATGCTGATCTCGTGACCCTGAATATCATATGAAGCATTAGGAATTTGATTTTCAATCACAGTCTTCAGATCCTCGATGTTCTGATAGCGTATCACTTCCTCCATTTGCGGCAATGTGACCTTCATGACGAAAGATTGCGTGAGTTCATTCTTCACAGCACTGGGAGATGTTTCGGTCATGATCTTGCCGTTGTTCATCAGGACAATGTTGTCTCCGAGATGCTCAGCTTCGTCTAAATAGTGTGTCGCCAGGACGATTGCACGTCCCTTTTTGAGTTTCTCAACCAACTCCCAGATGTTCTTGCGAGCTTTCGAGTCGATGGCTGAGCAAGGTTCATCGAGAATCACCAGACTTGGTGATCCGAGGAAGGCAATGCCAATGGACAGACGTCTTTTGTATCCTCCTGAAAGCTCACTGCTCATGTATCGCTCATATTTCCCAAGAGAAAGCACATCAAGCACTCTTCGAACCTCCTCATGGTAGTCATTGCCTATCTTGATTGCAGCATAGAGACTTAGATGCTCCTTAGCCGTGAGTTGAGGTATCAGAATGTTGTTTTGGGAGCAGAGACCGACATGCTTTCCCTTCAGCTTTCTGCTGGTTTGAATGTAGAGTTCTCCCGAGGATGGCAAAATTTGTCCGGTCAACATTTTAATAATCGTGCTCTTTCCAGCACCATTTCTACCCAGTAGACATGTTATTTGGTCTCTCTTGAAAGCGATGGACACACTGGACACCGCCAATTTGGAGGTGTCATAGTACTTGGAGACTTTCGTCATCACTGCTCCTGTTTGGGAGTCGAGATTCTTCGTAGGCACATCGTAGAAGTTGCTCTCGTTGTTTCTGAAGCGCTCAGAGATGAATCCAATGACTAGATAAACTAGCATGTCCAGGAGAAGCATAAGATATCCGTATTTAAATTCATTGTCATTTGTACTTCCTGTGAATGCATTGTGGAAGGACAGGTCCTTGAATTGGATCTCCTGTCGCAAGATGTAGTGCCAGGCGTTACAGAATGCCGTGGAGAAGGAGAGATTCGTGATAAATCGCGATGCTGCGGTTAATTTTGCATCGAAGAATATGACGAGAATGTAGGGAAGGAATGTGGAGAGGAAGAGTATTACGGACGAGACACAGGCGATACTGGCGGATGCGAAGAAGGAGGAGCACATGTAGCAGAAAGCGAGGATACAGGCACCGTAGGTCATAAGGTAGAAGAAGAGGAAGATTTTATTGGTGGAGCTCAAAATGCCACCGCTGTAGAGGATGAATATTGAGGCGAAGAAGACAAATCCTAATTCGGCGATTGACACCATGAACCATGTCAAGTCTTCTGATGTCCTCAGCAATCCCATGGCACGCATCAAGGAACTGTTTCCGCTCTCCTTCATCCACACTCGATCGCGCAGTATAAAGGCGATATTGACGATGAGTGCAAAGAAGAATGTCATTTGCACAGCATGAGCCATATAGAGGCCTCGCTTGAAGGTGTCTTTCGTGTACTTTGGATACGGGAACTGTTTTGTGTAATACTGTGCTGTATTTATTTGGTATCCGTAGTAAACCTCTTTCTCGCTATCACCAAACATCATCCCCATAATATCGCCAATTCCAGCTCTCTTCTGTCGACTTAGCGGAGCATTTGTAGTGTCTTGTGGTGTCTCTGTTGTTAACGGTGTGGTTCCTTCTTCAGTAACACTCTCACTTTCTGATACATTCTCCTGACCATTTGTTGAAGTCTTTGCAGATTCTGTTGTTGTCTTAGAAGTTGTAATATTTTTCGACTCGAAATCATCCACGAGATCGTCATCAGCGTCCAAGGATAATCCCGAATCGAAATCATCATCTTCATCGTCGTCACTCTCCTCCACAACCGGCGGTGGTGTTAGAACCTTCTGTGACTTAATTATGCCCAAATCAATGCTTTGCTGAATATGGACAAATCCTCTGTGATACTTGAGATCCAACTCAAAGCTCCCTTCGGGTCCTGGGAACCAAAATGCGCTCTTCTTCTCGCTAGTCTTCGGTGTGTCATCGACCGTCATTCTGAGCTTGTATCCAAAGTCCTTTTCGCTCTTGTGCTGGAAATACACTCCAGCCCAGAAGAGCTTCTTCTCATGCAACTTCACTGCCATCTTTTCGAGCTCCTCCTCAGATGTCACACCAACGAATCTGTCTGCGGAGAAGCAGTCCAAAACACTTGAAATCAGTGTTACAGTGTCCAAGATTCGGTTATCGTAGAGAATCCCATTGAACATTCCCTCAATTGCCGCCGGATCCAAATTTGCACTGCTTATGATTGACTGAACAAAGGGTGATTGAGTCAATTGGAGGAGCTTTAGAAACTTATCCCGCACCTCATCGTTGGTCTTCACTTGTATCAGGACATGTTCAATTGATTTGGCGAACAATCTCAACCGACCAAAATCGTGGAAAGTTGTGTTTGCCTATAAAAACGCAAGAAAAGAGCTTGCATAAGATATGAAATCAGACGAAATTGTATGATTATTCGCCTACATTTTCGATAATTTTGTCATTTTTCTCACTAATGGGCCCATAGAGGATTTTTCCCTGGATGATTGGCTTGAGGAATGACCAAGTGATTTTTCCGTAATTAGTTTTAGTGACGTCTTTGTACAGTTGCTTGCAGAAAGGAGCTGAAATTGTGAGATTTTGGCTGTTATAATTTGCACATTCATGGATAGATAAGTAAATCAAATTTGCAAACCGGTTTTGACTCAAAGTAAATATTCATTGATATTTAAGAATAACATATTTAATCATGAGCGTGAATAGGAAGATTATTGATGATATTTGATCAAACACGCTTACTTGGCATAGCGTCGATTTCATCACGATCTTCATCACTGAAATCTTCCGATGCCAGCACTTGATCAACAAGTTGTATATTGTCAGCTCGCGGAAATGGTTTCCCACACATGATTTTGCCGGATTCGGATAGCATTCTGTCGTCTAAAAGAAAAAGTAGCGTGTGTGGAACATTTTAATGTTGCCTCGAGAGATGTGTTTTAGTCAAGGTAAATAAGCTTTCTACCGAGCTTCATCAACAGATCTCAGAGTGAAACATTCTTTAACCTTGTCTACGATATAGCAAATATTATAAAAGTAGATGTGTTTTTTAGGAGAACGATTAGAGTAGATTTTTTTTGTGCGAAAAACTATTAAAATCATAGAAAGAAAGAAAAAACTGATGATATTTTCCTGGAAGATAAATTGTGATGATGTTGCGATGAATAATTCTCTAGGAAGATTTCGCAAAAACACCAGCTGAAGACAATTCACAGGTATGATTTTTCTTTCTCAATGTAATTTAACTGCTATTATTATTATCGTTAAGCCGAGCAGTGAGAATCGCATGTATGCAGATTGAGATGACATGTGCGTAAGCTTGCAATAAATACATATTTTGCTTACAATGCAGTGAACAAAAGGAGAGAAAATTTACCTGAGAACAGCTGTTTAACATCGAATGATGCTCCCAGTAAATTCTCATATTCAGGAAGTCTCTGCATGATCACTTTTATATTTCCTATAGAAAATAGAGGAATGAAAATAAAGAAATGTTAGAAACGTTGGAGAAAATAGAGATTTTTAGTAGAATCACCACAATTGATTGTAGTGTTTTGTTTTGTTTTTGCAAAAAGTTAGCACGAGATAAGATTCACCTTCCAAAATGGAGAACTTTTTATTGGCTGCAATCGCTATAATGGCTGGGATGAATTCCAGCCTCTCAGCCAGACCCGTGACGGCGTCGAAAAGCGATGGTTCATTGAGAAACGTCTGAATAATGTTCAGCGCTGGTGTGAGTCTGCAATGATGAATCGGTTTTGCATTATGCAACAGAAGATAATGACAAAATAATAGTATTGCACGAGAGAGAGAGAGAGCAACTCACGGAGCATCCGGAAAAGCTGATACTTCTTGGTACTCCCCCACCGGAAGGCATTGGTTCTCGAATGTGCAGATGTAGGAATGTATGGAATGCAGAAGCTGATTGTCGGATGGGAGTTGTCTCGTTGGGAATTGACATGGATCCATCAGTTCGGGCTCGAAGCGCGTCCGAGCAGTATATAGGGACAGGAACACAAGACATGGCCACATATACTGCACAATGGTCATCAACTACAATACACAAACATAAAGCTCTGTTGTAGCAGGAAAAAAGCTATTGCCTCTGATGAGTATATAATTCATGGTATTTTTTTTTCTCATTCTGGGATATTTATTAAGACGGAACTTACGGGTTGTCGTATTCGGACGAGAACATTTTTCCACAGGAGGGCCTTGATTTGCGCAACATTGAGCATTCTTCTTAAGTCACAAGTCATTTTACTTCAACACTGTATTTTGTAGCTCCACTAATTCAGTACTGCCGGTAAATACTCTTATCAAAGCTTAATTATTGTAATATCACAATTCCCTGCTGCCAATGATTTCCGTGTTCTGTGGAGGAATAAAATAGGAAATGTCTTAATGTATCCAAAAACTCTGATCACTGGGCATTGATTTTACAATGCAAATTATGAGATAAAACTTCAGCGGATGGGGAAGAATTAATTTCCCCATCCGAAATGGAATTTCCCAACATTTTATTGTTGAGCATATGCATAGATAGTAAATAGTGAAAAATATTTCCTAAAGATACCTTTGCAAATGTAGTCAATCGTTTAGCCATCAAATCATAAATTTATTTCACATGACGCAGTGTCTAGAATGTGGATTTTTAACGTTGTCAGGAAAAAATTCAGCCACACACGTGATATAATGCATGAGATAATAATTGTTTGACTAATAGCAAGACGATCATCTATAAAGAAGATCAGTAATGAAGTCTTTCACCTTGTTTGTAGGGCGTTCATTGATTTACAATGTAAATGGAATTGTATCGTGCTAAAGAGCAAGTGACTTGCGATGTATGTACAAAGTAACACCATTTATCATAGGTAATTTGTATAGTTTGATTTATTGATAGAGCTACCATAAAATTCCATAATTCACTAGTCTGTCTGTCTGATAGTCTGAGCGTGAAGACATCTGAGATTTTGCATATCACTCGGTTAGTGACATAATGGCGTTTTAGGGATTTTGGGCGGAACTTCGTCAATAATGATATTTTGCCTGGATTCTTTCATCCGTCTGTGCATTGGTCTAATTAACACATTCATTCAGTTTCTTACTCTTTCTCAAGTGACGCATTAACTCGTGTATTCAAGATCCAGAAAAAACTCGTTATCTCGCAAAGATGATAACCTTCCTGGCATACAAATTTTATAGTTCATAAAGTGTTATAATTAGGCGAATGCACAATTTAATGATATGTTAAAAAATATGTTGTTCCATTCAAGCACAATTTGCTAAAATAGCACGATTGATTAGATTATGCTGTGACACGAAGTGCATCCATTTAAAAATGTATATTGGAATTTTATTGAATGTCAAGTGATTAGTGGCACGATAAGATAGTTTTTAATAGAGATTTGAGCCATTTAAATTTATAACTTCGTGAGTTATCATTCGCTCCAATTATGAGATCTCTCCATTCGTGCTATTTATACAGCTGAAAATATTTTATTTCTTAAACAATTGATGTATTTGTAAGTATAATTCTCATTTTAGAATCACATATAAATTCTATATAATATATTTTTGCCTCTCTGGCATCGAGTGTTGGTTTTCAGACCTTCGAATAATTTTTGTTACTTGCAATAAAACTGGTTTGTTTTCAGGTGTAATTGGCGAAAATCAGATTGCCTGCGAGAACAAGTTTTTCAGCATCATCTTCTTGCTAAGTAGTTTGACTATATATACGCATATGTACGAGTGTTCTTGTTGATTGTCCTTGATGGGAATTAACAACCTCTGAGTGAAATAAAACAATAATATTTATACATTTTTTGGCTACATCATTTTGGTGATTGATTGGCGAGTACAAAAGTTCACTTCATGGTTCTTGCCGCTGGCATTTGATATTTTTTGTCTAGATGGCACGTGTAAGAACTACAGAAGATCAACAACATGCGTTCTTTGAAAATGAATTGCTCTCAGGGCGACATTCATATCACTCACACTTGTGAAAAGGCACACTTTAGGAGATTGAGCCACACACAGGTTGTTTTCCATTGCCGAGGACACGAAACACCGGCAAACTGGTATGAGTTTTACCATAATTTGTGCTCGTTTAAGATATTTATTGTGAGATTGTGCCTAATAAGAAAATCAATATGTCTCACCAGAGTTCTAAATCTATAAAATATCGCATAAATCACACTGAAGGGCTGAATTGAGATATTTGAGAAGCACTTGTGATTGCTAAACTTATTCATAAATTACCCGCATTTCTGCTTTTGACAAAGTGGAAATTCCCAACGATTCTCTGCGAATATCTTTCACAAAACGCTGGATCGTACTTTTTGCGCAAAGTAACTTTTTTTTTACTTCATATCACCGTTGGATAGAATTCGTGCCCCCAGACCGAAAGTGAAGGCGAGCAATTGGTTTTGTATGTAAATTTGAACCTCAAAAAAATGTAATGTGACAATTTCAACACACACTAGACATTTCTTACTACAGAATATAATTTTTTTTCTCAGAAATGAAGTTAGTCAATATTCTCGCAAGATTGTGGCATCATTAAAATATTATGATTGCAAATAAGTGTGTAATGACTTGCGAGCTATCAAATTCTCTTTAAGACTCTATTTCGATGATCTACAAATAAAGTAATTTTTTTGCAATTCTCGGAAAACATTTAAAAATTGCCCAAAAACATCGTATTCACGATGATTCCAGAAAAAAACCACGTAATGAATGGTAATCCTGGAGTAATAATGTATTCCATCATCTTCTGATTTTCTTGGGCGAAATGTGTGAAAAAGTGAATAATACTATGTTTATGTTATTTATGGCTGAACGTGAATGTATGCTTAGCATGATGAGCGAAGTAGAAATGTTTGCATATCAAGACAGATTTCAAATTTTTTTCCGATGCCCAAGAGTGACGAATGTTTAGTAGAGAACGAAAGTGGGGTCTCGTTAATTTTATGTAATTAAAGAGATCTTGCCAAAGCGCACTTAACCACATGAAATGTAAACTTTTCACGTGAAAAAGAACATCTCATAATTCATCAAATATCGAGAAGGAGATTAATAACTCATTTATGTTTTGCGAGTGTAAAACATGGCAATATTTTTGCTTCTATATATAGGTATGTGGGCAAGAGCAAATTTTATAATATCCCAAAGTTTATGTATGCTTTTTTTTCCTATATTTTGCGAAATGATTTCTGTACTCTGAAACACACAACGCACAGTGTCGGTATATGATGTAATTTATCTTCACAGTGGATTTATTGTATCTTCACTTTCAATCTCTCTCTCACATGGCATAATGTACCAAAACAAAAAAAGAGAACTATTCACGAGACCTCATTTCGGACCGTTTGGTCGCGTTACAATTACAGGTACATATATATATATATATATATGGTATTAAAATAAGTTACATATCACTGGAAACTTACACATTTATTTAACTACATGTACGTATCTTCACAGGTTGTATAAACTGTCTTCCATATTTGCTGTGTTTTAAATTCTGTTTTCACTTTAGAGGTTAAAGCACAATTTTTGAGCAATCCCACCGCGGAAACTGGTCGCTCGTGTGCAAGAGTGTGGGGAAAAAGTATGGAGTAAAGAGAACTAAAAACACCAGAAATGATTATGTTATGCGTATGCTAATCACGATCACAAAGCACCTATTAAAATTATTAGAAAATCTTCATCACTGCACTCACACACTCAGTGCTCGAGACAATGCTTTTCCCAGTGAAACTTTAGCATGAACCCTCCCGAGTTTGATTGGAAATGCTGCGGTTGGAAAGCTGCGATTGCACTGTCGAGCGCTCGCGAATTGGAACTGACTGTTGAAACAGACAAGACTTGTTGTTGAAGCTCAGAGGCCCCACATAGTGGAGAGACAGAGACTCGTTGTGGGGCACTCGGAAGTGGGGATATGGAATGCCATACGATTCACCACGATCGCCACAAAAGTCTTGTGCTCAACTATGGATTTCGAAGTGGTCTTTTTTTTAGATCACGTCTCACTAACGTCAGACGAATACTATTGACTTTGGCTGCTTAATTCCCAAAACATGCTCCACAGGGAAATTGAAAGTGTAGTCAAATTGGGGTCCGTGTTCGGTGAGATGTATCTTCAATGCGACTGTTTAAAACACACAAGAACACACACTTCAGTAGTTTATTTGCACTTTTGCTGTTTTTGTAAAATAGCCAGTCAAGCCAAGGAAAGTTTGGAACTCATCAAGATCTATACTCGTGGAAAATAACAGCTGTACTCTTACCGCTGGTGAGGATCAGTTAAGGAGATTCAATATTGAATTAGGTGCGATAAAATGTTGAAAACATTTAATGGCTCTAATGAAGATGTGAGACCGCGAAAAGCAGCCTTTATGAGGCACATATTCGCACCTGATAATATATCTCTTGCTCGAAAAACGTCGCGCAAGTATTCAACAACAAATTCATCATATTATAATTATTTTTTATATACATTTTTGCCTTAGAAGTGAACGTGTTTGATTACAAGTTGCAATCCCTGGACACAAGACATTCAGTATAAATTTAGTCTGAGGAATGAGACAAATGAATCTATACTAGTGCAGCAATTGAGAAACGTGATATATGCAAGATTGCCAATCAGCATCCGTTGATTTCAAGGAAAACGATGACTGGGGAGGATCATAATTCTGCAATTCACTCGTGATTTTTTGCAATGACACTCAAATTCTCAATATAAACTGTGCTTTTAGAGAGCTTTTGCTCAAGACGCAGAGCGTTTTTTTTTCTTCTCCTTTATTTCTTCTTCCGTATACAACGATTAGCGTAAATAGTAATTAAGATATTAGAACAATTAAGTAGAAATACAATTATATAAGTAACATTTTAGTACAATGCTGTTAATTTTCCGGTGAAGATGCTGCAATTAGACTGGAGTACTTTTAGCATTATCGTACTTATTGCGATAATCGAAAAGATTCGCGTGAGATTTGCGTCTTTCACGCTCAATTTGGTCCAAATCGAACGTAGAGAACTCATCGGAAGATGGTACGTGATGAATAATTGCCCTGGGATGCTGGTGGAAAATGTTATTTGCATAATTAACATCGGATAGATTGCGGTGGATGTAATGAGATTTAGTGGAGATGGCAGAAGGGGAAGTTGGAATGCACTTTGGCCAGTGATTACTGTGCTGAGTTGATTCATCATTCATGTGAATAAAGTCATCGATTGATTTGTGCACAAATGTATTGTCGAAGGCATCGCCATAGGGATATTGGCAGTGTCGTCCTGTGAAGAATTCATCTGTGAATTGATTGCTGCGCTTCAGGAAGTCTCGAGGAAGAGTGCGACTTTGATACGCACTCTTGTGTCTATGCTTCTCATCCATGCCGAAGGGATAGAATCTGGGATTGGCCAACATCTTTTCGTCCGAATTGAAGAATTGCTTCTGAGCAGCCTTATCGATTTCGCGCTCGTCGAAGAGTTTATTGGATTGAAAAGATTTAGATCTGTGAATACTAATGTCCGATTGCTGATTGTTCAAGTTGGATTGAGCTTCAACAACATAAATGGTTCCGTCTGTGCCAGAAGTGTTGTCTTCAATGTAGTAAATGCTGTGCGGATTGAAATTCCGACCGGCTTTGCGAGAGGCTTCCTTAATCAATTCCTCCTCCTTCGCTGTTTTTGCCTTTGAGCCGTGAAAGAAGTGTTTCAGTGACGATTTCTGGTCCTTTTCCCTCTCATATCTCTTATTTGATGAAAACATGTCACGATTATTAACAATAATATCTGATGTTGACGATAGCGTTCGAGTTATAGGAAATTCTTGAGGATATCCGAATATGGATTCACGCGGATTCACTGCAAAATTCACATCATTCTCACACAATTCATTAAGGCTTTTGGTAAAGTACTGCGAATGTAGATTACACTTGTTCTGATGAGATGAATATCGCGCACTTGGTTGGATGGTTTGTTGTTTTCTGCATGGAAATACTGGCAAGAAATCTTCGAAATTGCTGAATTTTATGTCCCTCGGATTGAAGCTCATGCACTGAATTTTCTAAAAAAAAAATAATTCAGCACGTTAAGAAGTCATTTAAATTCACGAAGATTGCCAGTCTTGTACCCTCTTTTCGCCCACTTGCAGCAGCGAAATGTAGTTAAAAACATTCACAACTCCAATGAGTTCTGTGCAGATGAAGCCGATAATGTAGAGATAAAAACTTTGGCCGTACTGAAAGTTAAAGAGTCGTGGCAAATAGGCTGATTTCGGTCGCAATTTAAAGCCAACTTCTGATTTGAAGATTGAAATGTACATTATCAATCCGCTGAGCATTAGAAGTCCTGCAAAAAATCAGTTGTTGGTCATTAAAGAGAAATTCATTATCATTATCTCTAATTTCGTGCTAATTAAATGATAAACTTTCAACTTGTTGACCAAATTTATAGAATAAACATTGTCATTAAAGCTTCCGCATCTGCGTTGGATTTCCTCACTTGAAATTCTTTAAGACATTGCTCACAACCTTCCTGATAATGACAATTTGTAGCAGTCTTTTTTCCTATTTTTCATCTCGCAAGACGAGCCAGTTGATCTTCAGCATGTGCTGACGCTCTACAACGTCACACACTCACCAGATATTATGAAAAGACCACCAGAGATGAAATAAGAAATGCTGTGCTGATGTGAGCATGTTTCCAATATAAAGAGTCCAAAACCAAGTAAAAGAATGACTGCAGAAATGACGAAGAAAGGCGCTGATTTTGTGATTGTATCTGTAAAAAAATCAAAATGTTACTCAACAATGTTTTTCTTTCAATTTGCAGTGACCAAGGCAGAGACACTTACATAAAATAGCCATTGTAGAATCATGAATATTTGGACTGTATTCATTCGCTGGGTAGAAATTGATGGAAGAGCAATTCCAATCTCTGGCTGAAATAATGTAATCACTTTAGAACATCGATGATAAGTTCGCAGATTTTACGCTCTTGAGTTACCTGTTGCTGAGGTGCAAAGGTTCCACAGGCTGGATTTAGTGTACATTGTAGTGTAGCCGTAATTGAAGCTATTCGACATCGTCCCATTGTTTCTGTATAGATTGGATATTTTCTCCTCAGTCGTGAGCCATTGAGGACCTGCCAGAGCCGCAATTACCACAGCCACAGAGAAGCTTCAAACACAAAATATTTGCAATAATTCTACTTTGTTTACCCAATGTATTGTCAATATTATACCTCACTGTTATTGGTCTTCCAATCCAACGTATATAACTCATTAAATTCCGTGCTGGTGGCATTTTGCACACAATATGACTTAATTACACTTTTATTAGGTATCTTTGATACACCTTTATGTGGCAACTGCTATTAACATTACGATTGTGCGTTTGATAAAGTCTCGAAACATACGAATCACAATATTTCAGATATTATTACAACTTTAATAAAATAACAGGTAGAGACGATTATTGCTACTTTACTCCACTGCCCTACATGTCTACGGAAAGAAATTTGAGACACTACTATGTCTCCGATACTTAGCGTTCCTTTACCTGCTCAATGTATCTCACTCACCCTACATTGTCATGCGCAATTGAATCCTTTATCCTGTAAATTGCATACAAATTTCACGTTCTAAAATTAAACACGTTTCGAAGAGTGTTGTGTGAAGTCACTCTGAGCTTCCGGTATTTGCACACAGATTTGCTAGTATATGTGTGCCGCTCTGGAGAATCACTCACCGGAAAATCAACAGAAATCAATTTCAACAAGGGGGGGAAGTAAGGATACTTCGGATGACCAAAAGCACTCAGGAGGAAATACAACCAATTAACTGTGGGTGTATTATTTGCTTACAGTTCTGCAGGAAAACTTTCAAACTCGCGTAAACTTTTTTGCTGATTTTATTGCAAATCGGTAAAAACAGAGTTGGTTGATAATAGATTTTCAATATTTAAGGGCTCATATTCAAATATTCAAAGGGTTTTAGAAATTAACTTATCCAATTTGAATGAAATTTCGGCTAGAAGTTATGCTAGGTTAGGCTTGGGCAAGATTGCAATTACTTGAGTGGCCAATAGTGGGAATCAGTTAAATTGAAGTTTCCACTTCTGGTCATGCTCAAATTTTGTATAAAAATTCAATATATTCACATATTCTGAACAAAGTGCTAATATTTAATTATAAATAGATAAGATTCTGGGACATTTTATTAAATATGTTGCGTGAAATTTATAAAATTATACATATCATGATTGCAAGCCTGTAAAATATTCCCAAATTCCAATCTATTAATAAATAATCAATATATTGTTGACTTTCACGAGTATGACTTCAAGAGTATATTATATATTTTGCGTCAGAAACCTTCACTTTTAGCTTTACATTTAATGTTCCTAAGACACTGGATTTATCATATGGCATTAACACTCATTAGACTTTCCATCCATATTGGGTATCCCCAGATTGATGAGACGTACTCGTTTGTCTGGTGGCTGAGCTGCCGCCGCCGTACATGGATGCATATCCAGAATTGAGTGGCGGTTGCGTAGGATAGCCAGCACCTCTGGTAGATGTTTGAGTGCCGGTGGAAGAGCTGCTGGACGAGGGTTTCTCATTGAACAGACCGCCAAAGTTGCGATTCTCAATCAAGTGTCGCGTATCGAATAGACCGCCAAGTCCTCCGGCGCCGGATGACGAGGATCCACCGCCGCCGCCGAAGAGACTGGACAATCCTGAACTGCCTCGGGTGCCGGTCGCGCCTCCTTGGTTGGACAGAGCGTTCTGTATCAAGCTGCCGATGCCACTCGAGATGAGTCCAGAGAAGAATCCTCCGAAGGAGTCCGATGACGACTTGGGCTTCTTCGTGGTCGGGGGATGATAGCCGCCTCGGTCCCTGTCACCGTAAAAGCTTCCACCGCCACCGTAAGAGCTTCCTCCGCCACCATAAGAGCTTCCACCGCCGCCATAAGAGCTTCCGCCGCCGCCATAAGAGCTCCCGCCGCCACCAAATGAGCTTCCACCGCCGCTATAAGAGCTCCCGCCACCGTAACCGGGAGGCACATATCCCCCAGGGTTGACATTCCCGAAGCCGCCACCCCCAGATGAGGACGGGTAAGAGCTTCCGCCACCGTATGGGTAAGAAGATCCGCCGCTTGAGGTGGGATAGCTGGGTCGAGGGGGTTCAGGAGCGGGAGCAGCAGGTGCGGACGGTAGGGCAGGATAGGTGTTTTCAGGAGTGTTTGATGGAGCCGAGGAGTGGGACGTGGCTAGAAAGTTCAACAAATTCCACCATTCAACGTCTGGATTTATTCTGTTCAAACAATTTCTATAGAGAGATAACATTTTGTGATTCATGCAAAGGACGGAGTGGAAGTTCTTTCATGTCTTCGCTACCCAGTGTGGGCTTATCACTTTCCAAATTCCCCATAACAACCACAAACAATAAATTTAGCGCGTTGATTTTGTTAGGTGTGTTATTAATGCAATTTCCGCCTTAAAATGGCATTGCATAAAGTAGAAATTTGTCGTTACAATCCGAGATAAGCGGTATATTGCAAAATAGTTTCAATTCTCGTTAATCTATTCGATGATATTTGGTTTGTTAAGTTCTTCTCGTGGTAACTTAGATTTTCCCTAAGGCTGTATAAAATTAGGCAACAATCTCTTAAAATTAAGATAAAGTTTTTAATACTGCGCGACATTGTATTAACAGTAAAGTTTGTTCATTTTTATCAGTTGTTCTTCCGTAAACAATAAATTATGCTCAATGTGATCAAAAAGTGCAGAAGGCCAACCGGAATATTCATTAAATCTTAATGGAAATCGAGTTTTGTCTGGACAAACTATGCATTAAAGTACGTTTTCACTTGTACGTGGCTTGAGAAATTCATCATTGGTGGTTGGAAGGAGTGGTTAAGTACATTGTTAGTGTAGACCCGATGACTAGCCATTCGAGAGATGTGTGGTTAATGCGAGATAGGGAAGCTCTTCGTCACTTGAGATGCGATTGACGACCTTAGTGCGTAAATCGCCATGCGGACGTGAGAATGACCGCGAATAGTAAGGTGAGGGTCGCGATGGGATTGCCACTGGCGAGATGCGAATTCGCGCCGCTCTTGTTGTACAGGAACTGATGCCACAGGCTGGGCTCCGTGGTGTGTTGCGGGTTGTAGAAGTTCGGTGGCCGCTGCCCAGGATAGGGCTGCTGGCCTGGCTGATAGCCCGGCTGTGGGTATTGGGGATTCTGCGGGTACTGCGGATACTGAGGATTCTGCGGATAGTAGTTGGGATAGCCGCCGCCTCCGCCGCCAGAGGGAGGGAAGGGCTGCTGCTGCGGAGGGAAGCCGCCTGAGCCGCCGTACGGCGGCGGCTGATAATTGGGATTCGTATTGAAGTTGGGATTTATCTCACGCGGCGGTTCCTGTGGCTGGGAAATTCTCGTGTTTTCCGGCAACGGATTCAGATAACCACCTGTGGGAGATCGATATCTCATGCAATGGTGTGATGAGAGAAGCAACATGATTTGCATGCACTGCAATGCCATCAATCAATGCAAATATACTAACCTGGTCCAGTGCTGCTTCCCGCTGCGCCGCTCTTGCGACACGTCGGATATCGTCCACATTCCTTGTTCTCTCGCTGGCCATAGGAGCAAGAGTCAACTGCCATGACACAGACCTCGGAGCTCAGACAGCCAATATCGCTGCATGATCTTCCGTATTCTGCAATGAAATTCAAAATCTTATTGAAGCCTCTACTTATATGGACATGAACACTTGTTGGAATTGCCGTATGTAATTTATTGTGAATTGGTTAATTGAGTAAAAACACTTTGAGTGCCTCAGGGGACCAAGAAGAGCGTCATCAGAGAGTAAATATATGTTTTGACTACGCCCATGAATATGGGTGAAACACAATATTTTAATTTTCTTAAAGGTTCGTCTAAACACACTTCGTTATCCATTGTTATCATCAAACTAAATGGGAAATCCAACCTATCCCAATCTCACATTATACAACAATCGACGCATTGGCATTTGAGCTTGTTGGACTACTAAAGCATATGGCAAAAAGTTAATTATCACTCGAAGATTAAGAAATGGGAAAAACACCGATTAATGTCAATACACTTACTTGAGTATGGGAGCGAGCTAACACTGCTGAACAACGCCAGCAAAGCCAAGCTGGAAATCACTCTGAAAAGTCTTCCCATGTCCGATCAGGAGAGAGCTTCCAGCTATTCCAGCCTGTAGAGAATGATTGAATTACTCAAAACACAACCTCTCATCTTCTTATCACGTATCATCTCTTATATATTTGACCTTCTGATCTCCCCTCCTTCCCTCCATTTCACTCACAAGAATCCCACAGTGATAAACGCAAAGTGCGCATTTACAAACAAGCGCGTACAAAATCGACATCTTTGGGCATCGCATTGTTCAGCAGAGATTTTCGCGAACACTCAAGATCTCAACAAAAAAGCAAAGAGATCTTTTTATTTAACACCTCTTAAGAAATGCCAGCTAATCATCCACATTAGCCAGAGAATACATGAAGAAGTTTAGCACGCTATGTTCTTGTCCTCGATCTCTTTCGTGTATGAAGCCCAAGGGTTGATGCTCGTTGAGAACATTGAATGTGATTCAGAGTGATTTTCGGAGGAAGGAAACGATCTTGATCGCTTAAATTTGCATGCTTGAATGTGTCTCATTGTTGGCTGTGACGCTTATGTTTGCGGTCAATGTAGCAATTGATTCGACCTTACTCTGGCTAAATGGGTGTACCTGTGAGGTAAATCACGAGTGTTTATGACACATAAAAACCGGATGAACAATTCCTTTTCACTCTGCGGAGCTTAAGTTCTACAATTCGCCTCAAAACATCCCAATGTACGATCCAAAATTTTAAAAATAAAATGTGATATTTTTACAATTGATTTTGTTTTATTTTAGAAGAAACAATCTATACAATTTTCGCGCGTTTCTCAGTAAAATGACGTCGTACGAACCAACACTTGTTCATCCAAAAATAGCAACTTTTCACATGAATAATTCCCATTCATTTTTTCCTCCTCCAATTCCATTACACACCACATTTTATTGATTGGCAAATTGGAAATGTATCCCAAATGCAATGCCTCCAATTATAACTGATGAGATGAGAAGATAATAACTTACACCAAAAAGAATAAATTTAATTCCTAATTAACTCTCCGTCCTTCTGATGGACAAAACTTCACATTCCACCACTACTGAACGTTCACAATTGAGTGAGGCTGGCTGCAAATGTAAGTTTCTCACTATACCTTCTCTGTTTCTCTCTTTCTCTCACTCCTTCGTCTCTTTACAACTCGACATATCGCTTCACTTCTTTCTCTCAATCCTCTCGCATCATCATTCTCTGTCTTTCTCGCCATGCCAAGCAGCAGAGCGAATAGCCCGCAACTGAGACACAAACCATTACTTAAATAAAGAGATTAACTGAACTTGCAGGAAAAGTGCGATTCTTTAGTTGTACGTTCCAAAATCTTCAAAATTCCTTTTGTAAAAATTATCAAATCCATATTGATCGGCTTCGTTGAAGTTCCCTTTAGAATACGACCCGTAAATCATCTTTTGATCCTTATTCGGTGGCGATGGCTCGACACTTTCCACTGGCTGAATGGGTTCGATTTCCTTGAAAGCTGGCTGAGAAGTCCTCTTTCCATGAACAGGCATAAATGATCTCTTGCTGTAAACTGGAGCCATTGTGTTGGCGTAGTAATCGTACAACAGAGATTTCGTGTCTGAATCTAGAGAGGGTTTTGCTGAATTCCTGCTGGATGCATTTCTTGTGCGCTCTTGACCATCTGAAGAGTGGCCAAAAGAATCAGTGGTGAGATTAAAATACCTTCCAGACTTCCCAGTTTACCTCGAGAAAAGTGTTCCATTTCGTATTGATTCCGAACATCCTGCAAGTTGTGAATCAACTCATCGAGTTCCTTCTCGCCGAGAGGAAAGGTCGCTGTTAGGATGAAAATTGAAGTCACAGTGCAGAAGAGGATGCAGATTTTCTGCATTTTTAATGCTTTTCCAGTCAACTCCTTAACACAACACACTTAACAACCGCTTGATTCCAGTGCAGACCACGAACAGAGAATGCGATTTTGTCACGCTGAGTGTGTCCTTTATATCCACCAGACACTCTCAGCATGGCACCGTGTCGGAATCAGAAATCTCAATGGGGAACAGGGAATGGGTCTAACATCCATGAGTTAAGTCCTCGCAAAAAAGCTCTTAAAGTGCTCCACTTAGATTATTTTTTTTATCATTATTCCAAAATTGTCCGCTTCTCTGCTATTCCTCCATATTGGATATTTGGTAGAGCTCATCGAGGATTTCCAGGCTCTTCTGATATCGGCTCTCCACCTTCTGCATCTGCGACAGCCAATTGCGCTTCACGTTCTTCCAACGCGGCAGCATTTCGCTCAGGATCTCATCTTTGCTCATCGGAGGATCGTCAATATTCTGTAAGACACGAGAATTGCTTAATAATTTCATCAGTGGATAATGATATCAGTCAATTTTACATAGTCGAGCTTCACATTGTCCTTGTCCATATTCTCCTGGCACGGCAATAGATTCGGAATCCTGCTCACAGTCGCCTTCTCTGGTGGCGGGAGAAGATCCACCGAGACTTCCTTGTGCTTATCCTCCTTGATGATGGACAGCAAGTCAACCTTGTGCTCATAGTATTGCCGGGATTTCCTCTGGGAGAAGCCTCGACTTCTGCACAACAGTAAAGCCACCTTTAGACACAGGACAGATGCAGTTGGAAGCTACATACTTATACCTCTTGTGAACGGCTGAACACTTGATCCAGGCACGGCAAATCGGATACAAAGGCGTGCTGTCGTCGAACTTCGCCAGATCAACAGAGCGATCAAACAGCTTCATGACATACGAATGTTGCACCGACGATGCATGCAAGGACTCCTTCTTGCCTATCTTCTTCTTGGGAGTCCCCGAGGATGAATTCCGGCGCGCCGAAGACTCATCATCGTCACTCTGTCCGGCCAGATCTTGGAGGATTCCCTTCAAGCGTCCCCGGGCAGTCTGCATGTCACTTTCTGTTGACAAAACACACAAAACACATTGAAATCGCGTTTACTCACTGAAACCAGCATACTCACTGTCTTCGTCATCTCCTGCGCGTCGTTTAGGCATGATTTTTAGGCCTTTCGGGTGGTTTTCTGCAGAGGAAAAAACAAATTTATCGAGAAAAATCACTTGTTTGACGCTTGGCTTCCTTGTTTTGGACAGTTAATCTCATTTCGCACTGGCCCTCAGTGGTGAATGTCACATGAATTCACCCGCCAATTCACCATATTCACCATTGCGTGCCGATGGATTGAGAATTGTTGATTGATTTCGCTTTCTCCGAAGCTTTTCGCATTTTATTCACTAGTAAAAACAATGCCGGACGTGAAGTTAGAACTATTTTCAGTGAAACAGAGAGTTTTCCTAGTGAAGCACTTCTACCAGAGCTTTGGAGACTACAAACTGGTCAAGAGTGATTATGAGACATTCTACGGAGCACCGCAGTTTTATCAACTCACGGACGAAGCAATCGCAGAGCTAATTGAACTGTTTGAGGACACTGGAAGTGTGCTAAAGTCCATTCGAATGATGGCTCAGAAGGTTTCTGGCAAGGAAATTCCCAGTCTAATTCCTATCACAAGTTCTAAGACTGAAGTTGGCTCAGAAGTCTCTGCGGAAGAAACTGAGAAAAGCACAACCGGTCATAATGATCCTCTGGAAGATCTGGACTGTTTTACTAAGGAGGAGTATGAGGTTCAGGAGGCAGATGAAGTAATTCATGAGGAATATCTGGAGGAAGCTGCAATGAAGGAAAAACCCTCAGAAAAACCACCGAAACAGGTAAGAATTTTCACACCGACAAATTCTCTTATTCTAAGAAGATTTTCCCGTTCCTTTTCAGTCTGTGCATTCTATCCGTGCTCAGAAGATCAGAGTGATCCGAATGAATGAACTTCTAGAGGAGACAATTGAGTACACAGATGATGAGGATCAACTCCAGGAAGTGGAATCATCTATTGGAGAGCCTGAAGGTATTATCACGTGTCTAAAGTGCGACAAGAAATGCAAGACTCTGAAGGAGCACAAGTGCTTTCTTCTTTCCTGCACGTACTGCCGGAAGAAATTCCCGCGAAAAGACCTCGTAAAGCACATGAAAAGGAATCACAACAACAGAAAGCTGCACAGCTGTGAATTCTGTGGGAAATTCTTCATCCGCAAAGACGATATGCTGAGCCATCGAAGGATTCACACCAAAGAGACTCCTTTCACGTGTCGCGCGCAGGGATGCAATGCGAAATTTCACTGGAGAGCAGCCCTGAATAGGCACGAACTGCTGGTGCACATCAAAGAGAGCACGGAAAGGTACAAATGCAACTTCTGTCCGGCTTCTTATCGACTCAAGGAGTACGTTGTGAGTCACATGAAGCGATGGCATGACTACAAGGAGACTGATAGTGAGACAGTGACGGAGGAGAGTTGCCATAAGACGTGGAATGGACCTGAAACCGCTCAGAATTCCTCACTCAGGCCCTTCATTTGTAGCTTTAAGGGATGCGGCAAGTCATTTTGCTGGCGTCAATCCCAGAAAAGGCATGAACAGTCTCACAAAGAGGATAACAACGACAACAGATTGAAGTGCGAATATTGCTTCTACTTCAGCTACAGCCAGAAATTTCTAGACAAACACATGGCGAAAGAGCACATAAGTCCTCATCAGGAGATCTCATCGCTAGGCACGTGTGACAATTGCAATGAAAACATCCCGAACGGTCAAACACACTGCTGCGATCTCGTCACTTGCTTGCACTGCCGGGAGAAGTTCTCCAAGAGCGAAATGACGCGACATTATCAGATCAAGCACGCCCAGGAAAAGCAAGTGTGCCAAGTGTGCGGCAAACGCTTCCACGACTTGCAAGCCTTTCTCAACCACCAGAAGATCCACGAGGATCAGCAGAGACTCTACGTGTGCAGCACCTGCGGAAAGATCTGCCAGCGGAAGTACGATCTGCAGAGTCACGAGAAGGTTCACAGCCAGGATCGACCGTACACCTGCCAAATCGAAACGTGTCGCAGGAGCTTCGCATGGCTTCACTCACTGAGGCGCCACGAGAAGCTGCACGAGACGAAGAATGCCAAATTATCATGCAAATTCTGCGATAAATTCTTTGTCACCAAGCCTCAAATGTCGGCGCATCTCATGAGAAATCATCAGTGTGGAAAATGCTGGGGATTCTTTAAGACCAGAGATGAACTGTTGAGGCATAAAGAAACCCATGCAGGTGAAGAAGAAGCCTCGGAAGAGCCAGATAATACCTGAGATATTTATAGTCATGTTTATATTGCTGTAGCTTAATATAATGAGTTAAAATACAAGTACAAAAAATGTGGCGGTAAGACCGAATTATGAAAAAAGGCGCTTTCGACTTTCGAATTCTACCGTATAACCAATGCTACAGATATTTCAGTAGACTGATGCAAGACAATTCCACGATTATTCCTATATTGCATTTTAAATTACGCTGTTAAGGTGTCAGATTTACTAGTACGAGACTAATAAAGGTTTTAATTTTTTATGGGATAGCTGGCAATTAAAATCTAATCTGTAAACGATTTTAGGTAAACCATTTAATAATCTTTCCAAGAATCTCAATTCGCTAACGAAAGAACAGTCCAATGAATTCCGAAGACATTTCTGAGCACACTGTCTTCACCATGAGACAATTTGCCAGTGGGTTGAGTGGGAAGAACGCTTTGGCGTCTTGATGTTGTCATTATTAGTCGCTTTTACGTGATTAAACCAGTGTTTTAGCGTTTTCAAGACAGAATGGATGAGAACAGTGGTGATGAGCCACTGCCGAACGGCTCCAACTATCACGTGCGGCGCCCGGATGGCACATGGCGTGAGTTTGGTGATTTCACAACAAAGGGGCCCAATTGCAGCGCTTGTCTCTTGCAGATGCCGCACAGATTATCCAGTCGCGCCTCGTGGACTCCAGTACGTATGAGTACTACATCCACTATGACGGGCTGAACAGGCGCCTGGATCAGTGGGTGCAGCGTAACAGAATTAACTGCACGCCACCGTCGGAAGCGGCGAAGAACCACAAGCCGGAATCCACTTTCCTGGGCAAATTCAATAAGCTGGATGTGCAGTCGCCGCTGGCGGAGGTCGTGGTGCCGGCGAACACGGGCGCGGCGACGGACAACGACAGAACAATCACGAGGAACCAGAAGCGCCGTCACGACGAGATCAACCATGTGCAGAAGACGTACGAGGAGATGGATCCCACAACGGCGGCCCTGGAGAAGGAACACGAGGCCATCACGAAGGTGAAGTACATCGACAAGCTGCGGATTGGACGGTATGAGATCGACACATGGTACTTCTCGCCATACCCAGAGGAATATGGGAAGGTGAGCAAGCTGTACGTGTGCGAATACTGCCTCATCTACATGCGCTACGCCACGCAGTACAAGAGCCACAAGGAGAAGTGCAAGAAAAGACAGCCGCCGGGAGCGGAGATCTACAGGAAGGGCACGATTTCCATATTTGAAATTGACGGGAAGGATCACGTCCTGTATTGTCAGACATTGTGTCTGCTGGCGAAGCTGTTTCTCGACCACAAAACTCTGTACTTTGACGTTGAGCCCTTTTACTTCTACGTCCTCTGCGAGATAGACCGGCAAGGGGCGCACATTGTGGGGTATTTCTCCAAGGAAAAGGAGTCACCGGAGAACAACAATGTCGCGTGCATTCTCATCCTGCCGCCGTACCAGCGGAAAGGTTACGGGAAGCTCCTCATCGCCTTCAGCTATGAACTGTCGCGACGAGAGGGTGTCATTGGGAGTCCGGAGAAGCCTCTGAGCGACCTGGGGAGACTCAGCTACCGCAGCTATTGGGCCTACACACTGCTGGAGCTCATGCGAGAGTGTCGCACCACCACACAGTCCGTGAAGGAGCTCAGTGAGTTGAGTGGCATCACGCAGGAGGACATCATCGCCACGCTGCAGTCGATGAAGATGGTGAAGTACTGGAAGGGACAGCATGTGGTGTGCGTGACACCCAAGACGGTCAACGAGCATCTGCAGTTGCCGCAATTCAAGAAGCCAAAACTCATGGTGGATCCGCTGTGTTTGCGTTGGATTCCGCACAAGAGGAACACGCAGAAGAAGAAGATTTAGGGCAGGAGAGATGTTCAATAAAGAGTGTTGCTAGGACAAAAGCTTTGTTTGGTTTCAATAAACAAGTGTGCCCACAGGATGGCGGAGAATGCAGAGATTCTGGAGTTGGTGAGTAATAAAAGATCGGCTCTATTAGTGTCTACATGAGTGATATTTTTAGCCCACGAAGGAGAATGTGGCGCTACTGGAGAGTTCCAATAGGAAATCAGCCGGGAAGAGTTTCCTGGAAGGCGTGAAGCACAATTCTTCGATAGTCAATCAATATTCCATCACAAGATACACGCCCAATGAGTGGCACAGGAGGAATGATGAGCTCTTCGCCCTGAGCCACAAAGTCAGCCAATTGAGTCTGAAGAATGACAATGAGGCGAAGAATTGCATGGCGTCAAACTTCTCCAGGACCAACAGAACGCAGCAGGACAACACTGAGCGACTGGGAAATCGATGCCATGAGATTTTCACATGGCAAACAAATCTGGAGCACGCGATACAAGCTCAAGTGGACGAGATTGCCATCCTGGAGGAAGAGAGACATCGTCTGAAGAAGTCCATGGCGATCCTGAAGATTCCTGAGTCCATCAATTCTGAGTGTCTGAGTCGAAGATGCGCTCGGCCGGACAGTGAATTGATCCGCGACGGACCGGAGGAAGAGCTTCTGAAGGAGACTATCCTAATAAATGATATCAGGAGAGTACTGGAGAAGACTCTGGCGAGCATTGAGCAGCAGCAGAGCGCAAATAGAGCTGTTAAGCACAAGCTTGAGTATCACTGGAGTTGCAAGAAGGAAGCCTACGCCATAGATTCGGTTAATAGAAACCTGGAGAACGCCTCTGGATCTACTCAATTCAAGCCAGGAGCTACTCAATCAGTAGCAGAGTAATTTGACAAGGGTTTTGTGGGGAAATCAATGGGTAAATTATACTTTTCTTGCAGCCAATCGACTGAGGAGTTTTGGAATCACTTCACGCAGGATGTTCTGGACGAAAGCGAAGCCACAAGGCAGAAATCTGTATGACATCTTACAATACAATGTACAGGATCTCATGGTTATTGCATTCCAGATTCACTTGCGAGGAACTCTACAGGAAATCCTTGTGAAGGCAACAAGAGATCTGAGGAATCAGGCAGACACTGTTGAACAGATGTTTCAATCCCGAATTTCCTGCATGGATGAAGTGAGAACAATGCTGGAGAATAATCTGCGTAACATCCTGCAGAAGCTGGCAGACACAGAAACACTCATCTCGAATCTCAAGGATGCCATCAGGAATATGGATTTCCCTATGAAAGTTTCCCAAACACGTCTGCAGAACAGGAATCTCTATCGGCCACAAGTGGAGAATTGCTATGATCGCTCCCAAGTGGGGCTTATCAATGAGGTGGGGAGTCTGCAGAAGAGTGTGTCGGACCTCAAGGAGTCTCTCAGGCAAGCTGAGGACACACAGAAGCAGCTAATTGACACGAGGACAGACCTTGAGGCGGAGATTATGCTCAAGAGGCGCACGATTAACATTGACAAGGATCGATGTCAACACATAAGATCCTATTTCCCATCAGCCACTGCCCTCAGTGGGTATATTTGAACTCACCAAGAGTGCTAGTTGTTGACGAAGAGTGACCAGCCCATCCACTGCAGGAGCTTGAAGGCGAGATATACCGGAATTATCAGGATAATCACGTAGAAGTAGTAAGACCAGCCCTCAATGACCATCTTTCTCACGAATTCACGCACGACAACACGATTTTGCCGTGACGGCGGTTATCGGAAGTAACACAGGAATACACAAATCACTTTTATTTCACAATAAAGCACCTAATCACATGATAAATACGGTGAAATTAGAGAATGTTCATGAACAGTCTTTTTCTCCTTGTGTGATTTGTTGACAAACATGGCTTTCGGGGTTGCCAGATTGCCGATTTCACCACTTGGCCGTTTTTCACCACTTTCCCCTCCATGGATCGTTGCAACAGGTATTGTGGCTCTCCAGGTAAGAAAAGTATTGTGGAATGCCACGACAAAAGTGTTGAACAATCAGAGTCGAACTGGAAGGCTCTGAATTTCACGGTAAAGAATATATTGAAACTGAATTTCTTCGGCAAATAAGAACCGCTGGGCCTTCCCCGAAATTCAAATTTCAGAGGATATTCAACTGCCAGTGCACGTGAAAATTCTCGAAACAGCACGAAAAGTCTCCCAATTTGCACCTGTTCCACATCGGAAAGCATCCTCAGGTGTATAGTTGCGCTGCACACATGAATAGAATAACGCTACAATAGCGGAGAGGAGAGTGATCTCAGTCTCTTGATCAACTTGCCATGGAGATCATCTCGCCACTATTAATTCCACTCCAAATATTTACAAATAAAGCAGACAGAATACAAAAGTGTTGATCATATCAATTAATTCGGCCACCTAACTAGTTATATTTCACACCATCGCCAGTGAAAATTCACAATTTGCCTCCGAAAACGTAAAATGATTCATCAAAACACTGCTGAAGTGTTAAAGTGAACATCGAGCGCTGCATAAGGCCAGAGTGTATTGTGGAAAAACAAGTCGAAAGAGCTGAAAAGTGAAAATATCTGTGATTTACGCGAGACTGCAAGAGACTTTTTACGGTGTTCAACAGTCACATGATGATTCCTCTTCTAATTCTGGGTTTAATTAGCGCATCTGAGGCGAATTTGAACATCATTGGGCCACAATGTGGGCAGATCTTCTGCAAACTCGATCAGTACTGCAAAGACGGTGTTTATCAATGCGTGAGTTGTGTGGACATTTGGTAAGATGGAGCTTGAAGTATTAAATATAATGTTTCTATACTTCAATTGTAATTATTTCTTCTGTATTTTTCAGCAATAACACTTCGCACAATGCCGATCAGATTCAGTGCCATAAAAGCTGCGATAGTGAGTTGAAAAAATACACCTGACTAATTCTTCAAATTGACGGGAGTATTGAATTAACATTGCTAAATATTTGCGTGTTTTTCGCCAGAGTACATGTACAGTCTACTGTACGATAAGATGACTCACCTATCGAGTGAATTCCATCAGCTGCAGAACCGTCAAATGATGATCCTGATTATCACAATAGTCCTGCTGATTCTCTTCATCATCATCCACGGCTTTCTCCTCTTTCGCTGGCTTCGCCGCCGAGGCTACCTCAGTGTGAAGATCTTCAAGGCGAAGTCCATGAAGCAGAAGCAGTGTCCAGTTGTAGATCTCACGCACGCCAATCCGCACACACAAAGTCCGAAGTTGCAGATCCGCACGGACATGGCCAGGAGCGCCAACGCCAAGAGAGACTCCACCGTTTTCTCAGTGGACGGCTCAACAATTCAGACCGTGAGCACGCCAATTAGCACGAGATATCCCGCAGAGGATTCAACGCTGGACTATTCCTATGATAACAGAGGAATGACTGTGACTCCCGTGGCCGATAAGCCGCGAGGATCGGAAACAAACTTCTGATTGAGTTTCTATATTGAAAAAATCATTCTCACATCACAAAAACCTTGTTAGTCATACAATTAATCTAAGAGCAGGTGAACTGGGCAGCACACTTTTGTCCTACAAAATGCTAAGTTGTATGTATTTTAGGGATTATTTTGTAAATATTTCAATGTGAAGCGCAAACATTCAAAGGTTGTTTCCGTGTATAAATCATTATCCGTCCTTTGGTTTCTATGCGAGAATTAAGTTGCTCATCAACTCACCGATATAATAGTCAATATCACATTTAAGTTTTGAATTTAAGAATTTTTTTTTTCTTAATTTTGGGAACATTTGTCCTTTTTTCTACATATTTATATTTAAATATTTTATCTAATATCTAAAAAAAATGCAATACACTAATAGATCTCTTTTTTGTTGTTATATGCGAAATTTTTCTACGGTAGAGAGAATAAAAAATCTATTAATTTAAGTATAAGATTAAGTTTGAAAATCAAATAAGTTTTTGGCTACACTGTGATAAGCAAAGTAAGCTTTTCACAGTACTTCGAAGATCTACATTATCTTAAACGCATTATTCAATAAATATTAGTATTATCAAAAGATTGAGTATTTTAAGTATACGGCAAGAACCCATCTTAAACTTAAGAACTCTTAAAGCAAAACTGTGCTGCCCAGAACTGAGTTTGGTTACAATTTCATGTACTTATGGCGATATAAAATTGCTGAAAAATTGGGGTGGCACTCCAATACAAAACTATCATTTGTGACCCTACAATAAAGACGCTATTCCTAAGTCTAAACCCAGTACTGATTCCGCCGCAGGAGCGGATTTGTTTGGGGTGTTTGAGGCTGCTGCGGCTGAGCGATCGAGGTGTAATTGACATCGTTGCAGACATCGTAATTGGGGCACCAGTTTTCGTTGTCATCTCCGTAAGGATATCGCAAAGAGTGCGAAGGATCGGGCAGATTGAGATCCGCCAGGTCGGACTCCGAGTCCTGGAAGTCATTAGGATCGAATCCGATGGGAATAACTTTGCACTGGGGAACATTACTGAGCCCGGGAAGAGGTGTTGAAGCTGCTGTCGCTGGGATGGATTCAGGATCTGAGGAGGTGTTTATGCGCGTGCCGTAGGGAAGAAAGTCTGGTGGACGCGGAAGTGATGGTGGATAGTCTTTGTGCGTGCTTTTAGATGCTCTGCTAGCGGCTCTGCACTTGATAATAACGACTAGAATCAGTGACAGTATAACAATGGCGGCCACGATGCACACGATCAGGACATAATTGATCGGAAGACTGGAATCAGCGATCATAACGCCATTTTCCTCAACTGCCAAATCGTGGGAATTGATTGTGATCGCCACAGTTCCTTGAGCTGGCTGAACGGACTTAATGTGCAGAACGTAGTCAAAGCTATCGGAGATCGTAAACAACTCCTCATCAGGCAGTTTCTTGGCCACAAAGTAGATCACACCACTCTTGAGTTCCTTGTAAGTGAATGACGTGACGTCCTTATCCTTGTACGAGTCTCCATCGCCTGTTGTTCTGGTTATCTTCTTGAGTTTCCCATGCTTAGCCTTTGATGTCAGGATAAACTTGGGATTGTAGCGATTCAGGTTCAAATTCGAGGAATGATGGGACATGGCTGAGGTGCTGAGGCGAATCTTATCTCCAGCCGTGACTGTGATGGCGTTTAGGGCGATGAAAGGATGCACGATCACCTTGACTGTGATCACACCTCCGTAATTTGTGTCTGAGATGTAGGCTGTGACTTGGAATGTGTCATTAGATCGCGAAAGATCAGTCTGCATATACGAAATCTCCTGCTCAACAAGCTGCATCTGACTGAACCTGAGAACAGGCTTCTCATTGCGCAGAATGAGACCAGCTGTTGGGGTCATGGTAATGTTGTACATCAATCGAGTTTTGTGAACATTCGTCTCGATGTACAAGTGCCTCTGCTCAATCAGAGCCGCCGAAATGCCTTGGGGGACGAGAATGGCCTCATTTTGAAAACCAGCAGTGATTGTTATGGGTAGAATGTTGATGTTGAAGATCTCATAGGCAGGTTTGAACTCGCCATCAGAGACTTTGAAGTAAAAAGTTGTGGATTGAGCCTTGCCTGAGTGAATGTAGATCACTCTTCCCTCATCAATATCCAGCTGTGTAAATTGATTTCCATATGCTATGATGTCTTGAGCTATTCCCTCATCGGATACCTTAAAGAGTAGCCCAATTGTAGGCCCACTTATGATGTCATAGACTATCTCAGACGATGGCGTGTCCGCATCTTGGGTCAATAATTCCGATCGCGTGATCGTCTTGTTTTCTCCCTCAACGACGGAAATGTGAGGAGATTGAGTGATCAACTGGAAAGGTTGATCGTTAATGGGGTTGATTATGATCGGAATAGTGAGATTGCAGAGGAAAATGTGACCCTGCAGAAGATAGACGGACATCAAAAGGCGATCCTCAACTGTATCCGAGTGATCGTGTTTGTAGTAAACGCGGTTGTTATTGAAGTCCTGCAATGTGAGACGATTGTTGGAGGCATTCATCTTCCCATCAATGATCTCCACTGCTCCATGATTTGGTGTGAAGGGTTCTATATAGAGCTCAGGATCGTGAATACCTGCCCGGGTTTCTAGATATTCTAGAACCTTCGACAGATCCAGCTTAATTGGAGCCAATTCGCCCTCGTCCAGACTAATCCTCGGCACTGGGAGGAATCTCAGCAATCCTCCTGAGGACACGGAGATATCAATCTGGAATATCTGGTCAATTAAGCTGCTGGCATGACTGGAGATCACGTCGAAATAGAAGGAATCATTGGTCTTCAGCTCTAGCATCGTGTGAGTGTGTTCATAGAGGATTTTTCCAGCTCTCACGTCGCTCTGTGTGAACTCTGACACTTCCGTGGCCATGCCATTCTCCGAGTACTCATAGAGAATCCTTCCCAGTTGGGGAGGAATAGTCACCACATATCTCACAGCTCTCTCCTCATCTGAGCACTTAAAGTGCAGCTGTTCGGGCAGGATTTGCTTTCTCGTGAGCGGGAACACATGCAGATGTTCATTTCTTACTTGCACCAGCGACACAGGGTTAACTGTGACAAAGAGGGTCTGCCTGGAGGTGTTATGCACCCCATCCGTGACGAAGAAAGTCAATTGGCCACTCGAGAAGGAGCTGTTGTGCATGAAAAAGACATTCCCATCGTCAATTTGTCGCTGTGTGAAGTTCCCAATGACTTTGTGGGAGACACGAGCGTCATTGAGAACCAATGTGCCTCCCACCACTTCATCCACCACGAAAGTGAGATTCTCAGCCACTGTGTCGTAGTCCTGAGCCACTGCAAAGAAGAGCAATACGCGGAAAGATTAATGATCTCGCCCCAATGATTTATGATTCACTTTGCTGGCGTTCAGCAAAAAAAACAGTAATTACTCCACTTTCTTGCAGATAAAAATTAATTTGTCACTCATAACAAGACATAATTAAAATAAATATGAGGAATCGTCAAAACATTCACACATCAGCTCGCTGAATGGATTCTACGTTATCACATAACGCATGTTATTTATAACTCTGCAGTTCATAAATTATATTTTACTCACTCAAATCAGTCCTCTTGATTGAGCTCCGTCCGCCAGTCCACATCTGAAGGCCCGTGTTCGTGACAACTTGAGGGATTTCGTCATTCACCGGCAGAATGGCCACGTGCAGATAGAACGGAACACTCTCCTTGTTCCGCGCCACGGCGATCAAGAGAATGGTGTCCGAGGAGTTCTCACTCCCATTGTGATTGTACATGATAATGTTCGCCTCTAGTTGCTTTTGCGTGAATCTGTTGACTTTCGAGGACTTTCCAGACTTGATATTCCCAAACTGCGGCTGTTGCAGGATTTTATACTCCAGAATCTTGCCATAGTAGAACTCAGAGAAAGGCACCATATCGTCAACGGAGAGCGCAACAGATCCTCCCTCTTCCACGAGAATCGCCCTGGTTGAAATGTAGAGATTCTCAGGGATAATTATGATCTTGAGCTTGAGATCTCTGAGCCATGTGATGCCATTTGTCACGTCGAAGATGAAGTAATCGGAGGATTGATTGACTCCCGCTTGAATGTAAAACATCTTTTCGGCATTGATTGTGCTCTGATCGAAGACTTTGCTGTTGTACTCATCGTCCAATGTGATGGATTGAATCTCCAGGTAACCATGTTGAGGAGAAGTGGTCACCAAGTATGTTATATCTCCGGGGGAAATTTTCGGATGGACAATCTCAAGAATATCTCTCGATATAATCACACTTGTTGACTCCTCGACGAAGAGTGTTTGATTGCGGCGAATCTGGAGGAGTTCCCAATAAGCCGCCGGATAGATCCTGATCAGTAATTCACCCTCTGTCCAGATTCCCTTCGCCGCCACGCGATATCTTATCTTATCCATCGAAGCCACTTCAGTGTTCCAATAGATGATTTTCTCCTGATTCACATTTGATTGCGTGAAATTCTTTATCGAAGTCACATTGAGATTCCTGGGAAGAATTGTTGTGTTTAGCTTTCTCTTCAGTGCCACAATATTCCCGAAATTCGGCCCATCTGTGATCTTATACTCAATCTCATCGGGCTCAGCATTTAAGTTAGTTTCAATTGAGAGATCATCAAGAGTGATCGTGATGAAGCGTCCCTCCTGCACGACAGACGCATTGGAGTCACGCACTTTCAGAAACGGCTCAGAGGCTTGAATCTCCAGAAATCCAGGCACTTCAAACACCCCGTCGGAGATAATAAACGTGATCTTGCCATACTCAGCTCCGTGATGCTTGATCATAACACGGCGCTCATTAATGTCTTCCTGGGTGAAGAAATCCGTCTCGACACCCTCCTTGAACATCACACCATTTGGCACGGTGACTTGAGAGTAGAATATATTGGCTGCACCTGTCTCGAGATCGTGATCCTCATACTCGAGATCAGCGCGAGACAGTGTCTTACTTTCCTCTTTCACGATGTAGAACACTTTGTGATGCGCATTGTAGGGTTCATTGTCATTCACCAGCTTGATTTCGACACTCACTTCGCAAATAAACTGAAAGTTTGACTCGGGATCTGAGAGAACGAGAATGCTGAGTGTGTCTTCAGTGGATTCTGAGTCATCGTGGCAGTAGTAAATATTCCTTGAGAGGATCTCATCGTATGTGAAGGACTCGATAACATTGATCTTAATATTGGTTTCGTCGTAGTTGCAAATCGAGCCGTGTTTGGGTGGAGTTGAGACGTTAAAAGTGAGTTCTTTGAAGTGATCGAAGATCACCTCGAAGTGATTGGTGGTCAGTAAGGCTGCTCTGCCCTCATTCACCACAATCCTCTCCTTCGTCTGATACATCAGTGACTTTGAGAGACTCTCCGCGGGATTAAACACAATGTTCATCTTGCCATAGATGTCTTCGCATTCAGGCACAGAAACGGCAAATTCGAAGACATCCACAAAGCTTGAATAAGATGTTAAGTACGTCCGATAGCGCATGATGGTCTTATCGATGTCCTGTTGAGTGAATGAATCCATCTCCTTGGCAGCCTGAGGATATCCGTCCACGTAGATGATCCCGTATTTCGGCGGTTTCACCACTATATAAATTATATTCCGTGGAAATGTCGGCAAGGGAAGAGTCTGATGGTACAGATTATCACTCTTGATGGCTACATCTCCACTCCCATTGATGTACAAGTTCGCCTGTCGCTGAATCCCGATCTGGAGCTTCGTGAACGTTATCCGAAAGTCGTAAGACTTCGCCATTGTGATGGGCGCTAAAGACACTGTGAACTTGAAATCGTCATGCTGGGGAAAGTCCGTTGTGTGGAGATATCTTATCTGGCCAAGGAGCATCTGATTGCTAGTGAAGGCATCCACGGTTATCCAGGAGGAGTCTACAGCTCGCAACTTCTGAATACTGCCAAACTGTGGTGGTCTGACCACGTCGAACTTCACATCCAATTGATCATCATCGGAGTTGGAGACGAAAGATAAGTTCCAAGGAGAGATCAAAGCGTATGATTTGTGAACCAATATCAGGCCGGTGTTGTTGATCATTCGCAATTGAAGGGGCAACACAGACACTTTCAGCATAACAGTGGGGCTCGTCTCCATGCCATCGGAAACCTGGAAGAAGGACATCAATGTGTAAAATGAATTATGGATTTTTCCCAATTGATCTCACCTGAACAGAAATTTCCATTGATGTGTCTTCGGGAGTGTCTGACTCTATAATGTAGGTCACATGTCCCTGATTCACATCAGACTGGGAAAATGTGGTGACAGCTTTTCCCGCCACTTCCAACTTCCCAGCAATGCGGTTTGGTTGCGGCGACGGCAGAAATGTGTACATTAGTGAGCTGTCTGGGCTGTCAGGATCAGTGGCCAGCAGGAGATCCGGACCGATAACTTTGGGTATTCCTTGGGTGAGTCTCAGCATTCGATTGTGCGGAATGTAGAGCGATGGAGCATCATTAACAGCTGTAATGTTGATGTGCAGCACAAATCTATGCTTGCCCTGAACATAATCAGGAACTGATTCTCGATTCGTGGACACCAGTTGCATGTCCATCGTGATGTGATCGATGAAGTGCTCATTTCCACTGTGGGTGTACTTCACCTTGTCTGTGCTGAGATCCATGAGGGAGAAGAGCTTCGTCTGGGTCTCATTGCCGTCGCTCGCGAAGGGCGCAACGGCGATTGTGCCATGTTTTGGTGGCTGAACTATGTGAAAGATCACTCCGGCCTCCATGAGCCCGATCTTTGCAAAGTCAAAGAGCACATCGATGTATATTGGAGACAGGAACATGCTGTCTCCCTCCATCAGTTGCATAGGTGATATGGCGAGAATCTCAATGTCTATGGGGAGATCTATTCTGGAGAAGATCTTGTATCTCTCCAGGAAGTCATTCCTTATGCAAAATGCCTGATTGCAGTGGCAGATGAACTCGTCAATCCCATAAGGTTGGCATATGCTGCCGATGATGCAAGGCTGTCTCTCGATGCAAGGATACCTCCAGACACAGTCCACAGTCACTCCCTGGGTGATCTTCATATCCGGAAATCCAATCAACTGACGATTCACCAATATATTCTTCATGCATCCGCGGAAGCTGCTGTCAACAGCCCTGGATCCCTTCATTCCAGCTCTCCTCCTCAGGCTGTAGTCCAATCCGCCAATGAAGAATTGCTCATTGAGTTCAATGACATGACTACTTCCGTTCGCGAAGCTCGCAGCATTTTTCACATCATCCACAGTGATCTCCACGATTATTGGGCTGTACAGAATCGAGACATTGTGCCATTTGCCATCAGAAACATTCCTGTCCGGGATGAGTTCAACAGCATTCGATCCCTTGCCGACCAACAATCGAAGTTTCGCCTCAACAATCTCAAGAGAGATGAAATCCATATTTCCCACATTGTACAGAACACTTGAAACTACCTCAATTGTCCGGAATTGGAGGTTCCAAATGTCTCCTGAGTACATTGTAGGCTTTCCCAGCACCATAAAGGAGTCATCTTCGATGAAACTGACACTCTGCTGGTGATCAGCATCGAATTCCGCAGCACACGTCCAGGAAACCCGAACACTAGCCACGTGAGAAGTCCTTTCTTTGGCGCGCTTAAAGACGTTGATATTATTATAGTACATCTGCAAGGAGTGTAAAAAATAGCCTAGATTAGATAAGGATTAATTTGTTTCTTTTTACACGAAGATTCTTAAATAAGATCAAAAGGATTTTATACTTTTTCAGTGTGAAAATCTCATAAAGACAATTTTCCACAATTTTCTCCAAGAGTCTTGTGCTCATGAAGAGCATCACTTAATTATCACTGACACAAGAATAGACGAGAAGCTTGATGGAAATTTCTTTGGAGAAAGTGTCTACACAAAACTCCTCATAAAATCTATTAATAGCACATCATAAAGGGTTAATATTTCATGAAATTGGTGAAGAATGTGTGACACTCGTCATGCAAATTTCCTAAGCAGTATTTTATGTGTCTATTCTAGGACTCTATAACGATACTCACATCAGACATGCATCCACGGAAATTGTCCACGGTGCTTAAGTACGCTTGAGAGAAATCCCCAACGCCGCCGAGGAAGACGCCAAAGTGGATGTTGAGCTCCCCAATTTTCGACGGCACGGTTTTCCGGTTGAAATGCTCATCCACTTGCATCGTGATGTTAGAATCGTAGCGTTGAATGGCGATTTCATGCCAATTGAGATCGTTGAAGAGTATATTCTTGGGCGACCACAGCTCAGTTGTGAAGTCCTCAATCTTGAACACGAACTTTATTCTGCCCGCCTCGAGATTGATCAGCGCATAATCCGTCCGACCGGCGGCCAGGAAGATGAAGCAATCGGGCAGCATTGTGCGGAATCTGAGGCGAATGTTGGTGGAGCTCTTCGCCTCCTGCATGGGCATGGCGATGTGACTGGCTCCATAGAACGACACTGGCGGCGTCGATGGTAAAAATAATTTTGGGATGCACCACTCAGAGACACGGGGTACAACAAAAATATTTACATTAACTTACCTTTCACACAGTCAACGCCTCGAACAGCTGTTTGCAGCAGTACAAGTAGTACGGCCGAGACGAAAATAGCGCCGGCATCTCTCATCTTCAGCATCCTCCTTGATGTGTGCGCCCGGAACACTCTTGCTAAACCCACGATGACGCCGCCAGAGTGCTAATTCCCATTGATCTTCAAGCTGCAGAGGACCGGAAGATTTTGCAATATGATGGAAAATTACATAAATACACAAAATGCTCCAAATTGATGAGCGAATGCTATTATTGTTAAATATGCCATCAAAGATGCATAAAATCGATCATAAAGCCTCGCGAATGAGATAATGCATGAGGCACTCTGGCTTAGACGCTCTACACACATAAGGTTAAGACGAGAGGATTCTTGGGTGGTTTATAGCCACAGCCAATTACGAACGAGGCTTGACTCGCGTGTCATGCACTAAACAACACTTTTATAACATAAAAATGCCCAATGTCTTTGCACTTTCATTAAAATTAACACTTATTCACTGAAAGATTAGGAGACTTTAGTCACGTAGTGATTATTATTATTAGGACAGTCTACAATCATGACAATAGAAATCACAGCCTGAAAATACTGATTGTGGCCATAAATTGCCTAAGCATTCTCTCGGCTTAAGCCTATGTGTGTAAAGCACATTAGAGTTGAAGAAAGTCACTCATCGCGCTTCTCATCTAAATCCCTCCCAGACTAGATCATCTCAACTCTATCATAAATGAAATTCTCAATGGGAACTCACATCTCGTGAATTGCTGTGGCTCGCAAAGTGGGAAAAGACAGCCTGATATATCAATAAATATCTATCGACTGTTGAATGACTTTTAATGGAATCACTCAGCACAAGAGCAACAATTCTGCCCAGACACGCACACTTTACACAATTTTTCACAATTTTGTGTGGATGTTCGTCAATTGAGTGTAATTATTTTGGAATGAGTTTGTTTGTTGGCTTTTGCCTCTAAGATTATGATTACAAATTTCTCCAGAAGGCGCGCGCGAGTCTGTGCTCAAAAGAGTGGTTGATGAGAATCACTTCTTGTCGGCTTGTGTGTTGCACTAAACATAGAGCCGGGATTCAACTGAAGCGCACAACACAAGGCAAAATGAAAAATGAGATTTAACAAAAATAAATCGTCAACGAGGAACATCTTTACGCATTACGAGTCTCATCTTCATGCGGCCATAACATAGATGTATAGAGAGGAGTTGTATATTAAAATGAAAAGCGACGAATCTATTCTTGGAAACTTTTCCTCTCGACCACAAACTCATACATGATTCACTGCTCTTCATGCGCTCTTCGTCCTGGCTCTTCGCATGAAATTCTCACACAGCACCAAGAGGAAAATCAGGGATTTTCATCACTGCTTAATCCGTGAATGAAGCCACCCACTCAGCACTTCTTTCTGCCATTCGTCTGTGTATTATGAATGATCGTTCTGCATGGATGAAACTCAATGGCGATCTGCTTCACTGACTTTTCCAAACCGAACTGTCACCAAAACTGTATATTTTCACATTAGAAAATCCCCGAAAGGGTACGTTTTGCATATAGAGATCACTCATGAAATGAATATGAAAACCGCGAGGAGATCACAAGAGCGACAAAGAGCTTGTGATCCACTAATCACGAAAGGCAACTCGAGACTAAAATAATCTCTGAGAATCTCTTTTCTTGAGAACAGAAGATCACTTTGTTGGAGATCGTCGCTTTCCGCACCCGAATTCGAATTGTCCCTCCTTCTTCGAGATGTTCCCCTCTCATTTCCACGCGCGATGCACTCACTCCGCCGACATTATTTATCTTCATGTGTCGGAATTGAAAAGGCACATTAGAGTTGCTCTTTTTCTCCCGCACACTTGAGCCACAGAAGAGGGTTCTTATTAATAAATGTCGGAAACTAATTAGGGGAGTGGAATCGGCATTAAATGAGTCAATATCGGAGAAATTCCAGGGCATCTCGAAGGGGAGAGAATATCAATGGAATGAGAGTCAGAAGTTAAGAATGTGTTGTAAACAAGCGCAATTTTCAATTGTATTTGCAGATAAAGTCGGCAAAATCACAGAAACTACAAAAAAAATGCAATAAAGCACCACGAGTTGGATTGTTAAAATGATTTTTTCCTGAATGTCGTTCCTCATTTTCTTATACGATTAGACGCTCTGTTTAAGAAGTTTATGCTGAATTGAAAGTTTACTTTTATCAGCGTGTGTAAGTTTTCTGCCTTATCGCAGCAGACGAAGCTCAAGTATATGTTAAGGTATTTACTATGCAACACTCTCTTCGTCTTATCACGCAAATGGACATGAAATCAAATGCTTGCTTCGTTTTGTTCTAAGTTCATTACAAGTAATTTCATACACCATAATTGGCGATTTCCTCGCATTTCCCAAGGTTCTGAGAGTGACAAAATATAAGGAAATGCTCTCGAATGACACAGTAGAAAAGATGCTTCATTGACTCAACAGTTAACATTGTGCGGCACTCGCGCGACTCTCGCACACAATCGCTGCTTATCACACACATTCGCGACAAAAATTCAATTGTGCGTCTCTTATCAGTGTCGGAGTCACTATTGAATGAGACCCAATTGACTGCGACGATCAGTGAGGTGCCAGTGACACGTTCGAGTGCATCTTTCTCGCGAAGATCCATTGAAATTGGGCACAAGTGATTGAGTAATTGCGTGATAGACAGAGTGTGAATGAAGAGCTCCTTTCGATTTTCTTTGCTTTTCACCTGAAAATCCGTCACGAAGAAAAATGGTGGGTATAAATAAAGTGAACGAGTGTTTAATCAAATGTTTCTGTCGTTATCGCATAGTGACAAATTTTGTATTTATAATGCAGAAAATCACCCTCAAAGCACTCCTCGTGACTCTCTTCTGCCTTCTCGGCACCGGTGATGCCCTGAAGATCCTCTTCATGGCTCCTTTTCCGGTGCCCAGTCACTGGTTCTGGCTTAAATCTGTCGTGGATGGACTTTTGGACAGAGGTCATGAGGTCACAGCCATAACGAATTTTCGTGCCAAAGAGCCGCACTCGAACTACACGGAAATCATTCTGGACCCACCTTTCGATCTGCTAAAGTATTGTGAGTTTTTTCTCTTTCTCTGAAAATGCATCGCACAGAATTACTCTTTACTCAGCATTAGGCTCATTATTCCATTCCAATCTTATCTCCATATATTACCATGATTACCACTATTATGCTCCCACATCCACTCGAGATTGCATTTTTCCTGCTTTTGTGTCAATTCTCACGATTACAATCTAATCACGAAATATTTACCAGACAAACGACTTTTTCCTCACGCTAATTAATCTCGATTTTTAGCACCTGAGCATTATATTTACGAACTGAAATACCGGAATGACTTCAGCAACTTGTTTCTCGTGTGGAACGTCGGATTACTTTCCACCAAATACGCACTTGAGCATCCCAAAGTGGCACGTCTGATAAGGAGTGATACGGAGGAGTTTGACCTGGTGATATCTGAACAATTCGGCCAGGAGGCATTCCTCATGTTCGCACGCAAATACAACGCGCCCATTGTCACGATCAGCACGTACGATTTCACGGACTTCCTGGATCTCAACGCGGGCTTCAGAGCGCCCGCTTCGTTCATTCCTCACATCCTGCTGCCCTACACCGATGAGATGACTCTCAGCCAGCGCGCCTACAATCTCTTCATAAGCCTGTGTGATCGCATTGTTCGACGAATTTTCTACATACCCGCCCAAAATGCTCTGCTAGAGAAGCACTTCAAGCCTCTCGAGCGAAGTTTGGGTCCCCTGCCCACCGTCCAGGAACTGGAACAGTCCATATCTGTGATTCTCTTCAACAGTCACGCGGCCACTTCGCCGGCGAGGCCAGAAATGCCGGGTCACGTGAAGATCGGCGGCATTCACATCAGAGATCCAAAGCCTCTTCCTGCCGAACTGCAGAAATTCCTCGATGGCGCTGATCACGGCGCAGTTCTCTTCAGTCTCGGCTCCCACATTCAGAGCTCACACTTTGCCAAGGAGAAAATTCAGGCTTTCATCAAAGTCTTCGCCAAAATGAAACAGAGAATCATCTGGAAATACGAGGGAGATGATCTCAAGGGCTTGACGCCAAATGTGCTGATCCAGAAGTGGATTCCGCAGGTAATTATAAACAAGTTCCTGTAAAATAAATATTACAGGCTTGATTGTGCTTTAGTGAGACTATTTATTAGTGATATTTTGCTAATTCTCTCTATCGTTTCCAGGTGGATGTTTTGGCGCACCATAATATTGTCCTGTTCATTAATCACGGAGGGATATTCGGCACTCAAGAGAGTGTCCACTACGGTGTTCCCATGCTCACTATTCCCTTCTACGCTGATCAATTCCGCAATGCCTATCGCGCCCAGGCTCGCGGACATGCGCTCGTGATCGAATACGATGCCATCACTGAGGAGAACCTCTCGCAGAAGCTCCACAGTTTGCTGACTGAGAATCACTTCCAGCAGACAGCCGACAAAGTGTCCCAGCTCTTCAAGGACAATCTCGAGAGTCCACTGAACACCGCCATGTACTGGATTGAGTACGTGGGCAGGAACAGAGGAGCGGATCACCTGAAGTCCGCCGCGAGGAATCTCAACTGGTTCCAGTATTTCATGTTGGACATCATCGGACTGCTGATCGTGGTGTATTTTGTGATTGCGACTGCAATGTACTTCTTAGTGGAGAGAATCTGTGGGAAGAAGAAGAAAACCAACGAGAAGGATAAAAAGGTGTCCAAGCAGAAGAAGTCAAATTAGACTGATGTTTAGTTCGCAAAATAATACATTGTAAATTCAATATATCATTGCAATAGCTACAAATCTATCCAAGTACACAAAACACTCATGTGTCCTCAGTCTTGTTGGGCTTCCCCTGAAAGTTCACGCCTTGTCTCATCACCAGCCACCGCTTCATGTCCTTCAGTTCGCGGCGCCGTGGCACAGGAGGTTGTGCCTCCGCGACCCTTCATCTCCACGTGCTGACTCACACAGATTTTATATCGCTGAACATCGCATGACAAAAAAAGTGGGAGATAAGAGAATTGATTTGCAGGAATTAACACAGTCAGACACTGTTTTCTATTGTTAAACACTGGCGTGAAGCAAACACTTTTTATTGATAGAGCATTTCAGGTGTAATTTCATGTGATTAAATTAATGATTTATGCTTTAATTTAAATTTCGAGTGTTTCACAGCAAACACACAATGCGAAATTCTCATTTGATAAATTTTCAATTCTTCGCTTTCTTTTTGCTAATATCTTAGCCATTGAGTGAGCGTATTAGCGATATTTGTAAGAGCGAAGACAGACTTAAGGATGATCTCGAGATCCTCTTCAAATCACGAGTTCATCTTCAGCTCAGTACTTTTTGTTCGAGGACTGCTAAAATATGAGCTCAGACATCTTTTTAGCTTTTGTGGTTTGCTGGGAGATTAGAATATCATTGCAACCATTGACCCATACTGTTTACCAAAATGTTGCTTCATCCGCATCATCGCTTCACCGATTCTGCTTCAGTGTATTTTATCGAGAGAAAACACACTGAAATTGTGATGGTATAAGAGCTTAAAGACTTCACCAACTCAGCAGTTCTGATTACACCGCGATAGAAGTCAGATCTGCTCAGTAAAAAATGTCTCCACTCAAATTATACCACTACAGCCTAAGTCCACCATCTCAATTAGCCCTTATGACCATCAGACACCTGAAGTTGGAGGTGGAAATTATCACAGTGGATTTGCTGAAGCAAGATCAATTATCACCAGAGTTTATAAAAGTCAATCCGCAACACACAGTGCCAACGATTGATGACAATGGATTTATTCTGTGGGAATCTCGCGCCATCGCCACGTATTTGGTCTCTTCCAAAGCTCCAGGAAGTTCTCTTTACCCAACAGACGTGAAGAAGAGAGCCGTTGTGGACGCTCGACTACACTTGGATCATGAATTATACATTGCTCTACGAGAAGTTGTGGTAAATTTCAAAGTTTTCATGAAGAAAAAACAGAAATTGAGCACTTCTAACTCTTTTAGTTCCCCATTTACGCCTTGGGAAGCACGGAAATTCCCCAGGATAAGAAAGATAAAGTGTACAAAATTCTAGGGAATCTCAATACTTTCCTTGAAGGACAAAAGTACGCGGCTGGGAGTGAATTAACAATCGCTGATTTAGCTCTTCTTGCCACAATTACATCTCTTCAAGTGAGTTATCAGTGGAGATTAGGAGAATTTATTTAACCAAGTGTGTCATTTTCAGGAAATCGGTGCGAATATCTGCAAATTCAGTAACGTTTCTGCCTGGCTGAAAAGCCTGGATTCAATTCCCGGTGCCCAAGAGAATCTGGAAGGCGCCCAATTGTTTGGAAACTTCATCAAATCTAAGATTAATCAAACAGACACCTGGGAGTAATGAAGAGAGCGAGCAAACAGCTTGAAATAAATAAAGCGGTGCTTCAAGTACTGATAATGAGAAGTCACTTTAGTCTTCACACTATTGTTGTGCGGTTCAGAGCGTGAAAATGGCCACATTAAAGTATTATTACTACCCAGAAGGCGCTCCAAATCGTGCTGCCCTTCTAACAATTCGCAATCTGAATCTGGACGCTGAAGTCATTTTCGTTGATTTACGCAAAAAGGAGCATTTGACAGAGAAATTTGTGAAAATGAATCCTCAGCGATGCATGCCATTGCTGGACGATAATGGGTTTCTGTTGTGTGAGTCTCGCGCAATCTCTCAATACTTGGTGACCACCAGAGCTCCGGGGAGTTCACTGTATCCGACGGATCCCAAGAAGAGAGCACTTGTGGATGCTAGACTGTATCTGGACACAACTCTTCATGCGGTTTCACGATCGTTCTTCGTAAGTTTCTCTCCAATTGATGTTTGTGTGTGGTTTTATCACTACACTGCCTTGCAGTTTCCGATCCATTCGATGGGAGAGACGAAGATTCCTGAATTGCCGAAACAGAGACTCTATCAATTGCTTGGCTATCTCAATGATATGATGGAAGATAAGCTCTTTGTCGCAGGAGATGAACTCACAATCGCGGATTTTTCGATTTTGGCATCTTTCTCCACATATTACGTAAGAATGGAAATCTTTTCCAGAAACACTTGAGAACGCTTTGATACTCTTTTCAGCATTGTGGAGCCAATGTGAAGAATCTGAAGAACCTCATTGCTTGGTATAAGAGATGCGAGAGCTTGCCTGGATTCCAAGAGAATGAAGATGCGGCCAAGGATTTCGGGGACATGTTTAAATCCAAGCTCAACATTAAGGAGTCTTGGGAAGAGTTGGAAAAGTGAAGTGCTGTACTTTATTTTGCATACAATAAAGAGGCTTTCATTTACTCACGGAAAGCTCTCATCCCAGGTTCCAGTGATGCCCAGGAGTCCCTTCAGGAACTCCCCGTACGCCTTGGCAGCCTGATCGTTCTCCTGATAGCCGGGAACATTCTCACAGCGCTTGTACCATGCCAAAATGTTCTTGTACTTCTTCACATCCGCACCGGCGTACTGCAAATAGAAGAAAGTGATAAGATAATGTGGAGAGAAGTGAGGAGATAAAAGCTTACAATGTACGTGGCGATTGAAGCAAGGATCGCCAGATCGGCTAGAGTCAGCTCATCCCCAGCGACGTAATTGTTGCCCTCCAGCATCGTCTCCAGACTCTCCAGCAGTTGATACAGGCGAATCTTCTTATCACTGGCGATGGTTTTTTGTCCCAGAGTGTGAATGGAATACTGACAAAATGGGAGTCATTTCAGCAAGAGAAGCGGCATAAGTTGACTGCACTTACGAAGATGATCCTGGCAGTGGCCTGCAGATAGGCATCAAGATACAGACGAGCATCCACAATGGCTCTCTTCTTGGGATCCGTCGGATACAGGCTGCTGCCGGGCGCTCGCGTGGTGACCAGATACTGAGAGATCGCTCGAGACTCCCACAGGACGAAGCCATTGTCGTCCAGACACGGCACAGTGTGGATTGGGTTAATCTTCAGGTATTCCGGCTTCAGTTGCTCCTTCTCACGCAGATTCACGTTGATCAGCTCCACGTCCAGATTGAGGGCGCGGATCGTGAGCAGAGCACCTCGGCAAGGAGGACTGTGAGGGAAGTAGTAGAACTTGACAGGAGCCATGGCTGTGAAGTGAACAAGGATTGTACTGAGATTCTGCCGGAGAAATTGGTTTTCACGCCTACCTTCGGGAAAAACACTTATCGGAATGACTTTCTCAACGCCCGTTTGCACCAATACAGAGAATATCGAATTGACGGAAGATTTGGAGAGGCACAGAGCCGGATCTCACCGGGGGCTCGTCCACTGAGCAGTCGCTGTACACTTGCAGATTAACGCTTCTTTCAAGTAGGCACTAAGATATTCTCTTACCTTTCTTCCACGCAATTCTCCACAGAAAGCACAGAACAAATGATAACGAGAATGAAATCACGAAATAAAATGGAATAATTTAATATTGATTGTAAAATACAAGTTGATCTGCTGAAAACTCCTTCTCTTTCTCTCCACTCTCTCGGAATACAGAGAAGAGTGTGTGTGTTTGTTGAATTTTGGAGAAAGAAACAAAGAACAAGTTATTAATCTGATACCAAAGAGAGAAAATTAACTTCATGCTAGCTAAGAAACGTCCTTAAAGTACAAAACTTAATTTTAAAAGAAAAACTGAGAAAGAGCGTACAATTTCTAAAAAAGTATTACTTTCCAGAGGAGTAAAAAAAAAGTGTAGAGAACCTAATTATAAATTCCATTGTTTTTATTTTATTAGTTTCTTCTCATAATCATTTTTTATCATTTTCACGGTACACAAAAATGCTATTATATTTCATATTTTATTCAAAAAAAAGAGAAATAAAGGAATAAAGAAAGGTAGTAAAGCAATTAAATAAAAATCAAATTTACATTTTCAAATATTCATCTTGAGGGTGTTTCTCAATTTTTATTTTACGCATTTTTTTTGTTATTTTTAATTAGAATGTTTTGTAGGTTTCTTTATCATCATTTTTTTTTTCTTTTCTTCTCTAAATCTTTTCTAGCCATCCGGTAAATTTCCACCCTTTCAAATATTATTTATTTATACTTAATGTTGTTTTCATCTTCATAATATATAATTGTGTGGTTGAACGACCAACGATCAGTTGCGCTTGTCTTTAGCAAGAAAAAGAGTCTATTAAAATATGTTTTCTCATCTTTTCCAAGGTTATTCCTTGCTCACTCTTTAACGTCTCTCACTCTTGTCCACTTTGTGTAATCTATTTCATTATATTTTCTGCAATATTTACACCAGTTTCTCATTCAATTAGTCGCGCGCAATGATTGGTGTTTCTCCATATTTCTTTTTTTTTGTTTAACTCTTTAAATGTTGTTTTACTCTTTTTTTCTCTTATAAATTCCCTCCTCAAAACTTAAATCTCACCCCCTTAACGCTGCCCTCGAGCGCGCTTACATCAAATCAGCCACATTAGCTGGCATCTCTTCAATTTTAGTATTGTAGAATTGTTCAATGTCTCTGAGGGTTCTCTTGTCCTCCTCCGTGACAAAATTGATAGCCACACCTTTTCGGCCGAAACGTCCGCCGCGACCAATCCTTTACGCCAAAAAAGAAATGAGAAACATTAGGAAATCTCTCAACTCACCCGAAAAATAAAACAACTCACCGATGAATGTAGTTGTCTCGATTGGTTGGCAAGTCATAGTTGATCACCAATGAGACCTGCTGGACGTCAATTCCACGGGCCAGAAGATCCGTAGTGATCAACACACGAGACGAACCCGTACGGAATTGCTTCATGATGATGTCTCGCTCGCGCTGATCCATGTCGCCGTGCATTGCCGACACAGTGAACTCCTGAAGAGTCATCTGCTCCGTGAGGAAATCCACCTGAAACACAGACCAAAAGCACAATTAACTAACCATCAGGCGCTGCGCGAAAAAAACACCAATTGACGTCAACTATGACGAGATAAGGCTATATGCAAAAAAGAAGGCCACTCAATGACAAACGCATTTATACGAACGACTCTCAATTTCACACTCAAATGATAAACTCTCCTTGCATTGCAAATGCATAGCTGTAAAGGTAATTTACAGACACAGTCTGGAGATGAGATACTTGTGTGCATTATTTCTCGCATGATTCACTCATGTGGAACAATATTGTGGACGGTTGGAGATTGAGAGCCGCGGGGATAATGGGATTAAATGCTTATCCTGCAGTAGAATTCGAGGCTCCATCGCCAATTGTGTCATTAATATGCATGAGCGAGACTTCGAATTTACCTATTTGTGCGTCTCAAACTTATCCTATGACTAATTTGTACAGTGACGGCCATGAATATCAGGACAACTGAAATGTCAGTCTCTAGATGACCAATGTCTGCGATGTGTTTATGACACGATGACTAAGCGAACAATTGTATTTTTGCCATTAAACATGGTCATTCAAGACTATTATGGCTGAAACTTCTCCATTGACTCCACTCTCGTGCCCATCACTGTACTTCTTGCAAGCGAAATCCACTCCATTGTCGAACGGAAATGGAATTTTTCGCTGAATGAGCGAAATGATTCTTATACTCTGTTTGTTCAATGGGTTACAATCGTTACAATGCTATTACAACTCCCAGAAGAGCAACTCTTCACATGCCAATGTTAAAACTTCCTATAAATAAACATCGGTCGATTGTTTATGCAGTAGATAAAAAAAAATGCCAACAGAGACAAATCCTCAGACTGGACAGACAGATAATCGATACGAAGCAACCTTTGCTCAGGAGGAACTTTCTCTCCTTATCACGCAAATGCGCCTCTTGAGATCACAAAGACAGATAGCGCGTGATTCACGACCACTTCCGGGATGGATTGAGAGCAAAATAACGGGGGATTTTGGATGAGAACTCCACGTGGCGCAGCGGAATGTGTCACTCTGGGTGAAAGAGAAAGGTGCGCGCAAAAACTGCTACATTGACCTGAATAGAAGGGCAAAAATTACTAGAGACTCACCTTGCGGCGAGTATTGCAGAAGATCACGGACTGCGTGATGGACAGCGTGCCGTACAGATCGCAGAGGGTGCCAATCTTCCACTCCTCCTTCTCCACATTCACGAAGAACTGCTTGATACCCTCGAGCGTGAGCTCCTCCTTCTTCACGAGAATCCTCACTGGATCGCGCATGAAGTACTTGCTCACGTCCAGCACATCGGCCGGCATTGTGGCCGACAGCAGGATGACCTGCACATCTGGCGGCAGCATGCGGAACACATCGTGAATCTGATCCTTGAAACCGCGCGACAGCATCTCGTCGGCCTCGTCCAGCACGAACAGCTTGATGGTGTTGGTGCGCAGCACGTTGCGGTTGATCATGTCGAACACGCGCCCCGGGGTGCCCACGATGACGTGAGAGCCCAACTCCAGCTTGCGCACGTCCTCCTTCACATTGGTGCCGCCGATGCAGGCGTGGCACTGGGCCTTCATGTAGTCGCCCAGCGCGATGATGACCTTCTGGATCTGCATGGCCAGCTCACGCGTGGGTGCCAGGATGAGAGCCTGGCACTGCCGCACGCTCGTGTCGATCTGCTGGAGAATCGCAATAGAGAACGTGGCCGTCTTGCCAGTTCCCGACTGCGCCTGGGCGATCACGTCGTATCCCTTCACGCACGGCATGATGGCGCGCTGCTGGATGGCCGAGGGCTTCTCGAAACCATAAGCGTAGATCCCGCGGAGGAGCTCCTCCTTCAGATTCATATCATCGAAGTGGTCGATCACCTGGAAGCACACGCAAATCCCATGCAATCCGCGCGCCAAGATGGAAACTTTCCACTCCGCCACAACTCACCTCATTCCAGTTGCTGTCGATGACGCCGTCCGGATCCATTCCAGCTGGCCCGTCGTACTCGCGCTCCCGCTCGGCCGGGGGTCCATTCTTGCCATCCTCATTCCTGCTGCGGAAATAGAGATCAAGGCCAGCGAGCCCCCGATTAGTCATCTCCAGCCACCGCAAGGAGGCGCCATGTTGTTCCAGGGGCGCCCGCGCGACACTACCGCCCCTGGCGGTGGCCCAGACCACGCGGAAAGCGTGCAAAATTGCAATTTCCCAGCACCAAAGCGCGCCCCAAAGGCGAGCACGCGTGGGAAAAGTGCATTTTCACGGGCCATCCGCGTGTCCACGACAGCCACCAGGGGCGCCCGCGTCGCGCACATTTTCACACCACAAAACACACATTTTTCGCCCCCATCCACACCATCTGCACCCCAAGCACCACCGAAAATCGCTTCTGCGACTCCCGAAGCAGCCACTGCACTACCTTTGGGGCACTCAGACGCTGCGGAGAGGTGGGAAAAATGGGAAAATTACCTTCTTTCAGCTGTATAAGACATGATTCGTGGTTACTTTCAGAGTAAAAGGACTTGCCAGATGGGAAAATTCCCAGAATTGACAGCGCTTCATGTGCTCATCGAGGCCGCCTGGTGGGGGGCACTGGAAAGTGGATGGCGGCCATTTTTGCCCAGTAACAGTGGCTGAATATGGGAAAAATCTCTGACTTCTCCACACGGATTTTCGAAGGAAAAGTATGTGTCGTTTTATGAATTTCCCGAAATTTGAGAAGAATATGCAAAACAAATATTCTCTAATGAGATTTTCACAAATAATAAGATTATTGCTGAAAGTCAGTGAGTAAACTTAGTGCAATAATTCCAGTTTAGTGGAGGTTCTGTGGAAGTTTATGTCGACAGTGAAGATTTGTCCACGGAAGAACATTTCAGAAGCAAAAATGGGAAATTTCCAGAACATTCGCTTTTTAGGCGCGAATATAATTTTGCATTCTCTCAATTATTTCCTGATGAGCATTATTCCCCACTCATGCAGCAATAAAACAAAATCACACATCAACCTGTAATCTCTTCTGTTCGATAAATTGCATTCACACAAAGCTTTTGATGTGATTTGCTGAACTTCTGCTAAATTTCCCAGAATTATCACAGAGCTTCAGCATTCTGTCACGCCGAGACAACGTGTGCGCCGAGTGGCAGACTACGTGCCGTGCACGCATTTCAAATTCCCGTCCGTTTGTCCCGTTCTCCGCATTGTTTCTCTCCCTTTCAATTAATCTCCTTCAATTGCTCCAGTTGAGCTCGTCAATGAGACAATTAGAGTGCCGCCAACTCTTCACTCGAATGGCAGCAATTTAATTTGTCTCTCGGTGTGACTGCCCAGAAGTGCCTAATCCTCCGCAGAACCCCCATCGTCATGAGCACCAAGGACGCAAGTAAGGAGTCGAAGCCCAAGAGAAGGAGTTTCGTGCGGAAGGCTTCGAAGAAGTATCACTTTCCAGAACCCAGGTGAGCTCCCAATGAAACCCTAGAATTTTTTTTTGCGGTGTGAAAGTGAGGCGAAATTATGCGAATCTCGAGCACATTTTCACGCGCGTTTCGTCGGGAAAACACGGCAATTGCCGATAATCCACATCTGGATCGAAAAGTTGCGATTCTCACTCAGAATATCAGTTTGTGGCCTCCAACGGTGGGAAACAGTTGTGCTCCAAACGCTATTTTTCCTCACACACATCTATAAATAGGCCCCCCAAAAACGGCCCACGGACCGCGAGACCACGTATACTTTCATAAAAATTTCAATTCGATTTTCCTGGGGGTGAAAAAGGCGAGTCAAGAGACAGTCGAAGGTTGAGAAAGGCGGCAATTTTATCAGCTTTTTTCCCTCTCCTGATAAAGAAACGCCTCACAGTGCGCAGGCTTCCGTTGTGCTTTCCTTTCCCACCGTCACGAGTGGACATCAATCCCAGTGACTATTTATAAGTGACGAAAATGCGTGGCTGAGGCGTGTTCTTGCTCTCTGTCTCTCTGGAAACCTTAAAAGAGTTCAGGGTAGTTTTCTTCCCCCGCGCGTCGCGAGGCGAGATTTTTTCCGTCAACCCCTATTGAACTTTCCGCCACAATGGGACTCCTGAAGCGCCTGAAGAAGTCTCCCGGGGGTGGAGATCCCAACTCTCCCACTTCTCCAACGCACAATGAGCAGCAGAAGAAGAAGAAAAAGTCGCGGCGAAAGTCATTCTTTTCGCTCATTTCCCCCAGTGACGTCACCGAAGGATCGCTACAAGTATGGGCAGGATTGCCGCCAAAGATCCGGCAGGATCCGAGTCTGGCCTCCTTCCAGATGGAGCACAATCGCCTGCACGGCGGTGAGTATAAACGACTTCTATGCTTAATTATATTACAATTTGCACCAGAGTTGAGATGGCGGGAAAAACAATTCCATCTAGATGATGATAAAGATTAAAATAAAAAATGTTGTGTGATAAAATGGGAATGAAAACTTCAATATTCTCTATATTTCTCTCAAATCATTTGATTAGTTTTGTCAATTATGAAAAAAAAGTTATGAAAATGTGACTTTATAACACAATTTTCTTATCAACCATCACCATTTAAATATTGACTCAAATATTGTCCCATTTCTCAAGATTAATTTTCATATGGAATAATCAAAATGATGTCAAATTATAAGTTGCTCACACAATTCTTTAAAAAATTTACCTTCAAAATCATTACTTAAACACTAATCTTCGCTCTGTCCACATCTCAACTCTGGTGGTGCCTCCCACTCGATACAATTTTGAAAAACGCACTCGCGAGAGCATCAATTGCGAAGGCTTTTCCTTTTCTGGCGAGAACAATAGCGCCAATCTTCACGTGACCAGCGGTTCTCATGCTAATTCGCAGGTGATTCGCACGAAGAGCAGTTGTGCGGCACGAGTGAGGATAGCCACCCGGAGGAGATCGCACTGGCGGGCCACGAGGACGACCAGGAGTCCTCTGACCACTCCGAGTCCTTCATCACCATCAAAGTGCCGGCCAGCCAGGATACCCACAAGCCCGACGAGCTCGAAATCAGGTGAGATTTGTGCGCCTAATTGGATTCCCATCAGTGATTGTGGGTGATTTTATTGGCCATTGAGCTGGTAAACATTTATTTGCACTGGCTGGTAAATAAATCTTTCGGCACGATTTGGAGGATGTGTGAAAGCTCGTGCCAAGAGAAACAAACCATCCAGACACGAGAGCGACAATAAACACCAATTTATTGAGATCAAGGAAAATCGAAAAGCCAACCAAATTAGTAACTGAGAATAATTATCTCTCAACTGGTTCTCTTGGCGATGTCTTCATCTGGGTGCAATTGTCCAAGAATGAGTGACGATGGTTAATTTGCGATGTCTTTATATAAATTAAAGCGAATTGAAGAGTTTAAATTCCAGTTGAAGCACTGACGGGAATTTAATCATTCTCTTTCAGCACGCATCCAAACCCTTCTCATCACTCTCCAGACTCCCATCACACTCCAGAATCTCATCACTCCCCTCACAATTTGCCCCACAATGCCCACTTTTACCTTCATCATGACGATCACAAGGAGGATCCGAGGAGGAAATACTTGAAGACGGGCTTCTTGATTGTCTGCTGGCTCACCTTCGCCATTCTCCTGGTGCTGAAGAAGGAGAAGATCTTGACCACCAAGACCCTGTCCGTGCCCTACAATGACTTTAAGGGATACGAAATCAGACCAATGCCTGAAAATCATGTCCGGTTGACGCTGGAAGGAGCTTTTCTGCCCAATGAGTACACAAATGAAACCGTGGAGTATTTGACAGTGGCTCTGCAGCTGGTGACCTTTGGCTTGGACACCAATGACACGATCAGTGTGGGAGAGGCTCAGTTGCTGGAGAACATTGGGGATGTGTGGAGAATCCCTTTGGTTAACACCTCGAGCCTCGATAAAGCGCCAATCATTATGAAGAAACATCAATTCACCGTTGATCCTGATCACATAGCCTATGATAATCCCGATCTTGGCGTGAGAATTAACATGTGGACGACGAAACTGAGTGAGGACTTTGCTGTGAAATTGACTTATGACGTGAAGCCGATGAATGAAGAAGTTGGCGTGATTTACGCGGCGATCATCATGATTCTGCTCTATGTTTTGATCATTTGGGAGATTGTTCATCGCACATTTGCCACATTGATCATGTCCACGCTGGCAGTGGCGATACTGGCGGGACTTGACGATCGTCCACAATTTGTCGAGATCATCCAGTGGCTGGACATTGAGACAATCATGCTCCTCATGTCCATGATGATCTTCGTGGCTGTGCTCACGGAAACTGGCGTATTTGACTTGATTGCTGTGTACACATTTAAATGCACAGGAGGCAGGATCTGGCCACTGATCCATGGCCTCTGCGCTATAACAGTTCTCGTCTCGTCCTTCCTGGACAACGTGACGACACTCCTTCTCCTGGCCCCAATCAGTATCAAGCTCTGCGAAGTGGTTGAGCTGAATCCCGTGCCGATTCTCATGGCAATCATCGTGCACGCCAACATTGGCGGCACTCTAACGCCCATCGGTGATCCTCCCAACGTCCTAATCACCACAAATCACTACATTGCTAAGCATGGCGTGACTTTCCTCACTTTCACCATTCACATGGCAGTTGGTGTGATTATCGTGAGCATTCAGACGATGATTCAACTGAGGATCAAGTACAGAAAACTGTCAGATTTGCGTCTGAAGATCCCATCACAGATTCAGGACCTTCGACGCGAGATCGCAGTGTGGAAGAGGGCAGCTGCCTCACTCTCCTCCTACTCCAAGGATGCCGATCTCGTGCGCGAAACCTTGCAGAAGAAGGTGAAGATATTGCAGCATCAGCTGAAGAAGAAGTCCACATCTTGTGGCGTTGAGACAGCAGTCTACAAATCCACCATGGATGAACTGCAGAAAACGTATGGCATCAAGAACAAATCACTTCTCATTAGGACAGGAATAGCCTTACTCTTCACCATCGCCCTGTTCTTCATTCAATCCGTGCCGGAGTTTCAACGCCTCACGCTGGCTTGGTCAGCACTTCTGGGCATGATGTTGCTTCTCGTGCTCACGTCAAGAGACGATCCCGAAGCCTTCGAGGTAGTCGTTGCCAGAATTGACTGGGCTGTTCTGCTCTTCTTCGCGGCTATGTCCTGCATAATCGAGGCTGTCTCTAAGCTGGGCTTCATCCACTGGATAGGGAAGCAGACGGAAGCCGTTATTATGTCTTGCTCTGAAGATTCCAGACTCGCAGTGGCCATCATTCTCATCCTTTGGGTGACGGCCATCACTTCGTCCTTTGTGGACAGCATTCCGGTCACAACAATGATGGTGAGTCTGTGAATTTCTTTGAAATGAATCAATCTTACTTCTCCACATTTCTAGATCCGCGTCGTTGTTTCCCTGGCAGAGAATCCGGCTCTCGGACTGCCTCTGCAGCCGCTGGTCTGGGCCCTGGCCTTTGGCACTTGCCTGGGTGCCAATGGGACTCTGGTGGGAGCGTCTGGGAATATCTGTGCTGCCGGCATAGCTGAGCATCATGGCTACAAAATCTCCTTCATTGACTACTTCAAGTGAGACCCTTGAAACTGTTCTTTCGCAACAAACTAATTGATCCTTTCTCTTGCAGATTCGGATTCCCTCTGATGTTGGGCAGTGTCGTTGTGACCACTGGTTACTTAATGGTGTCTCATGTACTTTTTACCTGGCACTAGATTAGACAAAATACTTATTTTGATGAATTTTACCCATTTTGTGTGCTCCTTTAGAATGTTAGAAGAGCATATTTTTATGATAGACATGTACTTAGGGATGGTTACCTCAATAAAGAATATGTAAATAAATACTATTAGCATCCGCAGCGTCTCTAGCGATCTAATTACGTAATTTCAACAGGAAGAACAATCCCTCATGGCCGAGAATGTTGGATGATGAATTGACTTCATAACAGGTGATTCATAATTTTACCGATTGTACACACAATGCAAATAGTTGTGTCTTTTTATAGACCCATAAAAATAGCGACTAAAATATTAGCATTTTCCTCTATTATTGCCGTCAGTTCGCATTTGTAAGTTGATTAAAATACAGCTAATGTTATTCTCGTGAAATGGAACAAATGGAGAAAAAATGAAGCTAAAAAAATATCGAAGAGAAACAAACAATGAAAATCGCGTGGACCATAAGTTCGGGATTCCATTCCTGAAAATTTATCGTTTTTTCTAGTAATGGAAATGCCTTGATTATGAATTTAATATCTTTGACTGATTGTTAAATCTCTTATAAGTTTTCTTATGAGCTATATTTATGTGAAATTCTGAAGAGTCAAGTATTTTCCTCTTCTCTACTTTACTTTATCCTCCAATTAATTTATATAGCCACCATTCAACCCACCTTGACTGGAAAACTCTTAATTAGTTCCAAAGAGTAATTCCAGGCATTTTAGTAATAATTCTGGAAAATTGTCCGGATATTGTTTCAAAATACTTCCATTCGAAATTGCGCATAAACTTTACAGTCGTTGAAAATCTATACAGATGCTCAATTATTCCACACAAATTCCGCATATTCTTGGTTCTTTGCGGGTCTTCTTACCAACTGTCTCCCCTCCAATGCTCTGCAGTAATGCTCAATTTCACTTGCCTAAAAATAGCGCTAAATTGTCTTCTCTCCCATTTGAATCAAGGGCGCAAAAATCACCCTCTGCAGTGAGAGTAATTGGATGAAATCTCTCGAGAAGTTTTCTCTCTCCTCGTGTCGCCAGGATCAATAAATATACTTCCACATATGTGAATTTCATGGGAAAATCAGAAGCTTGCCGTGCGTTCACGGAAAAGCGCTTTCATTTGCCTCGTCCTAAGCAAATTTACCTATTCGACGGCCGAGAGACCGGGGCGTTAATTTCCCGCAGAGACGCTGTTCCGACTTCCTCAAAATAGCACACACCATCCGCAGAGGGGAAAGCTATCGATCGGACAACTTTCCACCCATCGCCATATCAGCTGCCGAAGTCCAGTGCCACACGATGTCTGGTGAAGTTCACACGTTTTGAGGGTTATTCAGTGTCACCGTGAAAGTGGTCGTGATATCATCGCCGAAGACTCACCACGCATTGGCAATGGGTGTCCTTAAGGAAGCCGCGTGCCCCATGTGACGCACAGCCGGAGTGTCCGTCAGATGCAAGAGGAGGCGCCCGTTGGCGAGACCGAGGGGGAAAAGTCCCGCATAGCAGCCGAATGTGTTGGAATATGTGTGATAAACTGTGCAAACAAGAATCCAGAGTGGTGGCAGCTGAGGAACAAAGTGCAATGATTAACGGAGTTTATTGAGTGATTTTGCCCGTGAAGCAACTTTTAGCATTTATTTATTTCCACCAAATACTTTGCATCTCGCCCAGAGTTTCACCCATCATCATTAGATTATGCGATCCACCCAGTGATCAGGATTCGCTGTATAGTTTTATCATTTCTCACCACACTCGCCATGCCGAATAGCTTAGGACCGCCAAAAGCATCTCGATCTGGCATTGCCTTCGTGAGAGTCCCTCCGGAATCTGATGATTCTTCCCATAACAGCCATGATTCACCGTGAGTTGCCATCAAACTGTTTCACTGTTGTCTCGTTTGCTCCATGTGCTTGTTTTTCTCGTTTTCGCCATTGTCAAATTGTGCACCCAATTGTATTTAAATGGTGTAGTTAATACCACTAATTAGTGATTCACTGAAGATGCGCAAAGGCTTGATAGAGATCGAGTGATTTCCAGGATTCCCTATATTATTACCATTTGGGACAACATAGAATTATACCTTACAATCTCTGTGGAATTGTGCAACGCCACGCGCTCACTTTGAGCTTGGAAATCATGAAATCTCCCATGATAGCAAAACTATCACTTTATATTGTCTTTCATCTGCTATAATTGGTGAATTTGTGCCAATTTCGAGGTAGTTTTTCAAGATCACGTTTTCCAATCACACGTTCTTCAAGTGATGAACTCTTATTAGAGGCCTTATTAGCCTTGCTTGTGGTGGAAAAAATAAATTTGGATAAATCCAAAATGCGTTGTGTGATTAGAGGTCAACAAATTCAAACACTTTCATGGTTTGATGACTCTTTGGATCGCTCGCTGTGCAAACAAATTGGCGCAAACAAGTCGTATGGTCAATTGGCATTTCTGCAATTGATATCAAACTATTTGCCCCATCAGTGTTTGTCCACCCACCTTTTCATGGGAAAAATACTGGGAAATTGATTGTTTGTCCGAGTGCGCGATGGATATGAAATCATCCTAAAATTGCACCATAAACACACCCGCGACGCGATGCGGAGGAGGAACTATTGTTAACCTCCTGACACGCGTGAGTCACACACACACTTGAAGGTCTAGGTTAAGCTTTAATGGGCGGAGGTGGGAAAAGTGGATTAAAATGCAAACAAACGTGAAGTGCGAAACTCCCTTGCGCAATGATTCTTTTGCAACTCAGAGACGAAACGACTAATTTCTCCTCAAATGCAACAGGCACACGCGTCGTATTGATGTTTCAATTAATTTAATTACAAGTGGCTAAGCAAATTGTTTGCAGCTGCCCAGAAGTGGCGATTGTAATTCCTTTTTAACGCGTCCACACAAGTTGGACGATGAGTAATAAAAGAGACCCTCTTCTCGATTAATTAGCTATCATTTTAACATGTCGCACGCGCGATTTCTCAAATTTAAGTTCAAGTGAGATCAATTTGGAGAAAATGAGCAGAGGATTCTTGTTGACTGTTGAAATTAGATGGACATTTCATAAGAGAGTGACACCATATTCAATGTTATTAATTACAAATTGTTACCAAGTAATTATTTCGCCTTGCAAGTTTCACAATATCAATTGACAATGATGATTTTCTTTCTTTGAGCAACGAGCGCGAGGATGTGAAGAAACATTCATAATTGGCAATTACTGTCGACGCGGCAAATCGAAAGCTCTCTCGAAAGCTCCTCAATTGGGATTGAATTGATCTCGAGGATGTTTATGATGTTTCCGAATTCTAATTCCAGCACGTGGGGAAGAAAGTGCTTCGCGGGCACTAAAAATAGCGCCAGAGAGTCGCAGAAAATCTAATTGAATCGATCGCCAGGTGCCCGAGGGAGGGTGTGAGTGGCTGTTTTATTAATTGATTAAATAGCTCACTGACTCGCCATCATCGTCACTCGTTGCGCACGTTATCACTTGAGAGGAACGGTGGAAAAATCTGTCTGTCTCACACTCCCATCCGTCATGTCAAATCGATTTTTCCTATCCAGAATTTATGTCTTCTCCACCCTCAACATTGACCCTGTTTTTCACATTCAACAACCACCCCCGAAAAAACGAGCGCCACCCAATATTCTTGGGCCGCAACACGCGTCATTGAGGGTGGTTATTTGAATTTTTCATTGAGCGCCACGAGGCGGAGGGGAAATGGAAAAGTCCTGTGACACAAGGAAGAAAAAGGAGAGATTGTGTATCTTTTTCTCAAAATCTCCCATTGAAAATCATCGACGACACATCAAGCTTTGTTGCGAAATTGAGGGTGCAAAAAATGTGGCAATTTTGATAATAAAGTTTCCACTGCTTTTTTTACTCCCACAACAACACATAATTAACTCTCTCTCGTATGATTTCACTCTTTAAACGTTTTTTATCGATCGTAACATTTTTGTGAGTATCACACAAGTGGAGTAAACATTTGGAGAGGCAAATATTGAGTTATAACTTCAAAAATACCGATACATTCTAGACGCAACTGGAAATTGACTCTCGAAACAATATAAATTGTATCTGATAAATCTAATACTTAATTTCCTTAATGTGTCTCGAGAATGTTAGTGATTTCCTCTGAAATTTTGTAAAATTGATTTATTAACAAGTTGAACCTCAAAGTCTTGACATCCTTGGTCTACAATGCACACTTGTGTTCAGTATTTTTGCACATGAAATCCCTGTGAATCTCTGCCAAAATTAATATTCATTTTCATTTACATTTGCATTTCACTGAGTCTGAAACCATGGATTTTCATATTACCTACATATGTATATGCTTTTTCAATTAAAATTCACTCGTTCTCATGATAATTATTCCTTGTGTGCGATTCGTTTCACAGTCACGGCGAGTAAACTTACATTACTTTAATATCTCGTCAGAAATTTATGGGGCAATTTTGATAAAGATAATCCAAAAGCAGTGCTTGATTGCTACTCAAAGCAGTGACAACGATTCTTTTTATCTATGAGAGACACTTTTATGTCTAATCGGCGTGACTGATTAGTACAAATGTGGTGGAATATTATTCAATTAAACATCCTGTAAAGTAGATTTGTTGGCCAGAAAAAGAACTCTCATATCCAATTTCAGGATCCACCGTAATCCGGTTTATATTAAAAAATTCTCTGATGAGTTTCACTTAATTTAATTTAATAGGTCGCACTTTATTAGGCGCTAATGAAAAGAGAGTGTTCACTTTTTTCGCCTTCGCCCCGGAGCGATCCAGTAACCTCGCAAATTGACCAAAACCTCACCAGCAGAAGCACCTTGTTATCATTCCAATTTGCTCGCAGGTTGCGTTTCCATAGAAATTAATATATGTGGTTTTTTTTTTAACTCCGCCATGGCGCAGACATGGCCACCCTCCGCCCCCTTTGCAATGACTTAATTCTGACGGAAACTGCGGCGGTTTCATGAGTATAATCACATGACATTACTCATTTAGTCAGCGCCAAATAACCGGTTCATTGTCTGGCCCATAGTCAATTTTGCATTATTGTTGGTAATTAGATGTCCAGTGCCAGCAAAAGAGCTGTCTTTACCCATATTTACCTGCTGCTCGACATTCAAAGTCAGGGCTAAGGTGGCAATTCGTCCGAAAAACCCCTTATCGATCAGATTCTTTGCTGCAAAATGTACTTTAAAGTCTGTAGTCGAGAAACTTGAAAATCCTTTCTAATCTGGTGAAGATCATTAAATTCTGAATGGAAAATTCCAAACTAGAGCACTCTGCAGAGCCACGCGCTTCTCTCAAGCGTTCATTTTTCAAAATAAGCCATAGTTTTGTATGCCTTTTATTCCTTTCTCCCAATCACGCTCACTCGCAATGGCGCATGTGTGGGAAAACTCCATTCAATAGCATTGAGTATTGTTGTGCGATCGTATGATTAAAAAATATGTGATTGTAAGGTTTGCTGCACTTCTTGATCTGGCTGATGATTCCGTGAGATCAGGATCTTCCGTGATCAAGATCGCGGTATGTTTTGGTGATTAATGTGTCGAGGTTAGTGATCGAGTGTTTTTTGTCCAGCTGCAGAGATCAATCAATATTTTGCACAATTGCGATTGGGATGTAAATATTTGTGATGCGTGACGAGAGTCGCTGGGGAGATGTTTTGATTGACATCATGGATGATAAAGAGGCAGATGTATTTTTTCTGTCTCGCGAGATCATCGCGCGGCCAAATTCTGCAAGTGACCTTCCAGAAGTGGCCATTCTTACCTCAGTCCGCGCGCAGAGAGTGAATTGGCGATCAGTGAGCACCGTGAAACGTGTGGATCGCCCATCGATCACTCCACACGACTGTATGTTAGGTGCCTATGTAGGCGCCTCACTCTACATACAGTGTGCTGTACATATAGTAAAGTCGTTATATAGAAATTCGCAGTTGGTTGGTTACATCGCCACCACATAGTCGACTAACATTCCGTGTCGAACTTCTGCTGCGAGCAGATCCCATTTCAATTTAAAATACGTTCTTCTGTAAAGGCACAAGTGTTGCGCTGTGCCTCTTCGGTTTGTTTGGCCTCACACCATCGTGGTGGAAGCGTCGCAGTGACACAGCCCGGATGCAGAATAAGTGAGGAATCTGTGCGAATTGTTCGCGTTTCGATGGAGAATGAACGAAATGAGTAAAAATTGTGCAAATTAATCTCAATACTTGCCAATCGACAATCAATTGCTTGCTCACTTGTGGCAATTTTCTCACCAATTTTCCGCTTGGCAATCGATTCCATTTTCTATTGTACAATTCGAAGTGAATTTGTGGACACACTTGCCAGTGCATCTTTGGAGTTGCGATCGCGCGATCTTGTGCGGGTGACCAAGAAAATGTGCCTGACCTCCGATCGCCGGTGATCGGCGTGAGAATCAGTCGCAAGAAGTAATTTCTGATTAAAAATAACGTGTGCTGAGTGGAGAATTGTTCGATGGAATATATTGAAGAAGAGAGAAAAACGAGCAGTGATTCACATTAATTGATTGGGGCACCGATTACAGTTGGTGTGGCTGTAATTGTTACTTTAAATACGGAAATGAGAATAATGGACGAAATTGTGCTCAAGTGCGTGAGATGCTAATAACATTGGGAGAATTGTTCTGTCTCCCTCACTTTCATTTTTCTCCCTCGTGATGATTTCTCAATTTTTGCAAAAATATTTTCCATCCTCTCTAAAACATGCCACTCTATGTATACATTACAATTCAGTGCTCTGTACTTCCCAGTACATGATATTTTTTCGACATGATCTCTGACCCTTCTTGATTATTTATAATTATCAAATGTAGGTTTCACCA